TGGGTGGTCCCGGGGATCGAACCCACTACCCTGGCGTTACGAGCGCCATGCTCTACCAATTGAGCTACAGAGGACCACAAGAGACCCAATTCAATGAAGAATGACCATGGTAATTTGTTGTATGACTAGAAAAGGTGAGGAATTTACTATGCAATGGTTATGAAAATAAAATAAATAGGAAATAGATTCCTTTGTCTAATTATTTTAGATCCCAAAAATAAAACACACTTGATTTTCGCTCTTCTCACTAACAGCAAATGGCTGCATCTTGTTCTTTTTTTTATGAATAAGCATGTCATCATATCCCCCATTTGCACAAAATACTTAGGCGTACTTACCTTCTTGCAATACAATACTTCAACCACTAGAAGATGTGCGTACGCATGGTCTAAAGTTTGCGTGGAGGAAAATACATTCTCATGTCAAGTTCAGTTTTTTATAAATGCCAACTTTTGCGGGAAAACTTGCACTTGCACATTTTGTATGTACGCATGGTTTATAAATGAGGCCCCTGCTCTACTACTCAGAGAGAAAGTGGCCCCAGGGCCCGAGGGGACTTGAAAGGGGAGCTGGAGCCAAGGCTGAGCGGGGGAACCAAAGACACTTAGATCACAGCACCGTCTGACGTTGCCTGTTTACATGATGGCCGAGAGACAGAGAGAGTGAGAGAGTGAGAGAGTAAGAGAGAGAGTGTGTGTGCATATGTGTGGGTGTGTGTCTGTGTGTGAGAGAGAGAGAGTGCGTGTTTGTGTGTGCAAGTGTGAGCGATAGAGAGCGCATGTCTGTATGTGTGTGAGAGAGAGAGTGCATGTCTGCATGTGTGAGAGAGAGAGAGAGCGATATGGCGGCAGGGAGGACTCCAGAGGGGCGAGGAGATGATGATGATGATGATGACTAATTACAGCCAATAAACAGCAGGGGCCCGGCGAGGAGCTCTCTTTCTCACTGTCACTTACTCTCTCTCACACACACACACACACACACACTCAAATGAACACACAAACACACACACATGATTACGTCCAAGCACACAATTACACTACCGTTCAAAAATTTGGGGTCACTTAGAAATGTCCTTGTTTTTGAAAGAAAAGCAATTTTTTTGTCCATTAAAATAACATCAAATTTATCAGAAATACATTGTAGACATTGTTAATGTTGTAAATGGCTATTGTAGCTGGAAACGGCTGATTTTAAATGGAATATCTACATAGGCTTACAGAGGCCCATTATCAGCAACCATCAGTCCTGTGTTCCAATGGCATGTTGTGTTTGCTAATCCAAGTTTATCATTTTAAAAGGCTAATTGATCATTAGAAAACCCTTTTGCAATTATGTTAGCACAGCTGAAAACTGGCCTTCATGAGACTAGCAACTGTCAGCTTCATTAAACAGTACCCGCAAAACACCAGTCTCAACGTCAACAGTGAAGAGGCGACTCCGGGATGCTGACCTTCTAGGCAGAGTTGCAAAGAAAAAGCCATATCTCAGACTGGCCAATAAAAATACAAGATTAAGATGGGCAGTCTGAGATATGGCGTTTCCTTTGCAGCTCTGCCTAGAAGGTCAGCATCCCGGAGTCGCCTCTTCACTGTTGACGTTGAGACTGGTGTTTTGCGGGTACTATTTAATGAAGCTGCCAGTTGAGGACCTGTGAGGCGTCTGTTTCTCAAACTAGACACTAATGTATTTGTCCTCTTGCTCAGTTGTGCAACTGGGCCTCCCACTCCTCTTTCTATTCTGGTTAGAGCGAGTTTGTGCTGTTCTGTGAAGGGAGTAGTACACAGCGTTGTACGAGATCTTCAGTTTCTTGGCAATTTCTCGCATGGAATAGCCTTCATTTCTCAGAACAAGAATAGACTGACGAGTTTCAGAAGAAAGTTACAGTGGGGGAAAAAAGTATTTAGTCAGCCACCAATTGTGCAAGTTCTCCCACTTAAAAAGATGAGAGAGGCCTGTAATTTTCAGCATAGGTACACGTCAACTATGACAGACAAATTGAGAATTTTTTTCTCCAGAAAATCACATTGTAGGATTTTTAAATAATTTATTTGCAAATTATGGTGGAAAATAAGTATTTGGTCACCTACAAACAAGCAAGATTTCTGGCTCTCACAGACCTGTAACTTCTTCTTTAAGAGGCTCCTCTGTCCTCCACTCGTTACCTGTATTAATGGCACCTGTTTGAACTTGTTATCAGTATAAAATACACCTGTCCACAACCTAAAACAGTCACACTCCAAACTCCACTATGGCCAAGACCAAAGAGCTGTCAAAGGACACCAGAAACAAAATTGTAGACCTGCACCAGGCTGGGAAGACTGAATCTGCAATAGGTAAGCAGCTTGGTTTGAAGAAATCAACTGTGGGAGCAATTATTAGGAAATGGAAGACATACAAGACCACTGATAATCTCCCTCGATCTGGGGCTCCACGCAAGATCTCACCCCGTGGGGTCAAAATGATCACAAGAACGGTGAGCAAAAATCCCAGAACCACACGGGGGGACCTAGTGAATGACCTGCAGAGAGCTGGGACCAAAGTAACAAAGCCTACCATCAGTAACACACTACGCCGCCAGGGACTCAAATCCTGCAGTGCCAGACGTGTCCCCCTGCTTAAGCCAGTACATGTCCAGGCCCGTCTGAAGTTTGCTAGAGTGCATTTGGATGATCCAGAAGAGGATTGGGAGAATGTCATATGGTCAGATGAAACCAAAATATAACTTTTTGGTAAAAACTCAACTCGTCGTGTTTGGAGGACAAAGAATGCTGAGTTGCATCCAAAGAACACCATACCTACTGTGAAGCATGGGGGTGGAAACATCATGCTTTGGGGCTGTTTTTCTGCAAAGGGACCAGGACGACTGATCCGTGTAAAGGAAAGAATGAATGGGGCCATGTATCGTGAGATTTTGAATGAAAACCTCCTTCCATCAGCAAGGGCATTGAAGATGAAACGTGGCTGGGTCTTTCAGCATGACAATGATCCCAAACACACCGCCCGGGCAATGAAGGAGTGGCTTCGTAAGAAGCATTTCAAGGTCCTGGAGTGGCCTAGCCAGTCTCCAGATCTCAACCCCATAGAAAATCTTTGGAGGGAGTTGAAAGTCCGTGTTGCCCAGTGACAGCCCCAAAACATCACTGCTCTAGAGGAGATCTGCATGGAGGAATGGGCCAAAATACCAGCAACAGTGTGTGAAAACCTTGTGAAGACTTACAGAAAACGTTTGACCTGTGTCATTGCCAACAAAGGGTATATAACAAAGTATTGAGAAACTTTTGTTATTGACCAAATACTTATTTTCCACCATAATTTGCAAATAAATTCATAAAAAATCCTACAATGTGATTTTCTGGATTTCTTTTCTCATTTTGTCTGTCATAGTTGATGTGTACCTATGATGAAAATTACAGGCCTCTCTCATCTTTTTAAGTGGGAGAACTTGCACAATTGGTGGCTGACTAAATACTTTTTTCCCCCACTGTATTTGTTTCTGGCCATTTTGAGCCTGTAATCGAACCCACAATTGCTGACGCTCCAGATACTCAACTAGTCTCAAGAAGGCCAGTTTTATTGCTTCTTTAATCAGCACAACAGTTTTGAGCTGTGCTAACATAACTGCAAAATGGTTTTCTAATGATCAATTAGCCTTTTAAAATGATAAACTTGGATTAGCAAACACAACGTGCCATTAGAACACAGGACTGATGGTTGCTGATAATGGGCCTCTGTACGACTATGTAGATATTCCATAAAAAATCAGCCGTTTCCAGCTACAATAGCCATTTACAACATTAACAATGTCTACTCTGTTCAATTTGATGTTATTGTAATGGACAAAAAAATAGTGATTTTCTTTCGAAAAGAAGGACATTTCTAAGTGACCCCAAACTTTTGAACGGTAGTGTAATTTTTTACAACTATGCATAGTTCCCTTAGTTTCCTCCCTCTGAAACCTTTAGTAAGTCTCTTGTTGAGTCATCTGACAATCAAGGTATCAGGGCTGTTTAAACAGTTAAACTACAAGAAGGGGGTCTTTCAAAACAGAGGGTACTGTAAGAACAGATATGGGGAGTGCTAATAGATATCTAATTTATCAACTACATAAAATCTTATAGGAAAGGCCTGTGTTGTGACTAATATTAATACGCTTAAACAACAGTAGTCAAAGCGCTGCTCAGAGCCCGGGAGTTCTGTCTGGGCCAGAGACTGCTCGGTTTCTGTTGGAGGACGTTGCGTTGTGTATGAATTCCACACCTTCAATGGTCAACCGCCACTGAGGCACACAGTTTCATTAAGCTTTTTAACATGGAGGTTTTACGGGGGGCTGGGGGAAAATATCAAAGTGATGAGATTCCCAAGATTTTTCCTTTGGTGTCTGCGCTGCACCACGTATATTACTGATTATGGTGGGGCCCGCGCCCAATTTCCCCAAGAGGCAAACATTGTATGTTTAACCCAGCATCTCGGCTGCGTCCAAAATAGCACCCTATTCCCTCCATAGTGCACTACTTTTGTCCAGGGCCCATATGCCCTATTCTTTACTAGAGCCCTATCAGCCCTGGTTAAAGCTAGTGCACTATGTAGTGAATATGGTGCCATTTGGGATGCAGACATATGCTGTTTAGTCCAATATGAGTAGGAGTGTGCCTCACGCTATTAACACCATTTATTTCCATTGCATGCATGACAAATCTGATATTTTAAACTATTGGGAGATTATATATTAAATGATAGGATACGTTTGGTATTTTAGACCTTCCAGTTATGGTTCCTTACCCTGACAGTAGCCAAGAGAGAATTATCCACGGCTTTGTATCTTTGAAATCATTCCTTTTGGGAACGTTTTATTCCATCGTAGGCTATAGCCTATTTAATGAACAGAAATCAAGTCAGGGTATCTATCTGTCTGCCTGCACTTCTATGTCTAGAAGAGTTATCCAATCTCTGCCTGTCTGTAATCATTTTGCAGTGGATTTCCGAAATATTTTCCACTGTTACTCTGGTAAGAGGATGTGGAGCAGCGCTACTCTCCTGAGAGGGGCAGACAGAGACGCAGTCAGAGATGTGGGCCATAATGCTGCTACTGGTTGCTGCAGGGGTTCTGATCCTCCCACAGGATAGGCTGGCAGCGTTGCCTCTGACGTCACTGTGCTGAGTTTGGCACTGAGCTAGGAAGGCTTATGTTATGGACGGGCTGTACTTCATTCCACAAAGTTGTTCTCTCCCTCCCTTCTGCCCTTAGTTAATCCACCTGCAGGATTTATCTGATAGGACTGGGTAGGATCATAGTCGTAAGGCAGGAACTAACCCAGCGGGCAAAACTTGTTTTACCAACTAGAAAAAGACGCCTTTACCTGCTTGTAATCTGGTTGTAATCTGACCAGATACCAAACAAAATTACGTTTTTCAAATCTAATTTTATTTGTCAAATGCGCCAAATATAACTGGTGTAGACTTTACCTTGAAATGCTTGCTTATGAGACCTTTCCAATGATGCAGAGTAAAAAAAATAATTATACAAATAAAATAGTAACACAATAAAACATAAACAAGAATGGAGCTATAAACAGGAAGTACCAGTACCTTATCAATGTGCAGAGGTACGAGGTATTTGAGGTAGATGTGTACATGAAGGCAGGGTAAAGTGACAAGGCATCAGGATAGATAATAATAAGAGTAAAATAAAGAACAGAGTAGCAACAGCAAATGATGAGTGTAAAAGTGTGTGAGTGTGTGTGTATGTTACATCGGTATGTGTGTTATGTGTGTGTGCGCGTGCGTATGTAGTGTATGTGAATGTGTGTGGGTTTTGTATGGGAGTGTCAATGTAGTGTGTGTATATGGTGTGTATACACTGAGTGTACAAGATATTAAGAATATGACATAGACTGACCAGGTGAATACAGGTGAAAAGGTATGATCCCTTATTGATGTAACTTGTTAAATCCACTTCAATCAGTGTAGATTAAGGGGAGGAGACAGGTTAAAGACAATTGAGACATGAATTGTGTATGTGTGCCATTCAGATGGTGAATGGGCAAGACAAAAGATTAAAGTGCCTTTGAACGGGGTATGGTAGTAGGTGCCAGGCGCACCGGTTTGTGTCAAGAACTGTAACTCTGCTGGGCTTTTCACGCTCAACAGTTTCCCGTGTGTATCAAAGGTCATCCAGCCAACTTGACACAACTGTGGGAAGCATTGGAGTCATGGCCAGCATCCCTGTGGAACGCTTTCGATACCTTGTCGAGTCCACGCCCCGATGAATTGAGGGCAAAAAGGGGGGTGGTGGGAGCAACTCAATATTAGGAAGTTGCTCAGTCCAGGGTCCCTTGTTTGGTGTTGAGTTTGGAGGGGACAATGGTGTTGAACGCTGAGCTGTAGTCTATGAACAGCATTCTCGCTTAGTTATTTGCCCTCTTGTCCAGGATGGAGAGGGCAGTGTAAGTGCAATTGAGATCGATTCATCTGTGGATCTGTTGGGGCGTTATGCGAATTGGAGTGGGTCTAGGGTGATGGTGTTGATGTGTGTCATGACCAGTCTTTCAAAACACTTCATAATTACAGATGTGAGTGCTACAGGGTGATAGTCATTTAGGCAGGTTACCTTAGAACTTTTGGGAACAGGGTGGTCAGTTTGAAACATGTTGGGATTACAGATTGGGACAAGAAGAGATTGAAAATGTCTGTGAAGGCACTTGCCAGCTGGTCTGCGCATGCTTTGAGAACACGCCCTGGTATTCCGCCTTGTGATTGTTAACCTGTTTAAACGTTTTGCTCACAAAAGGCCACAGAGAGCGAGATCACACAGTCATCCGGAAAAACCGGTGCTTCACCCCGAGAGTAATGGGCAGGTGGAGAGAGTTAACCAGGATGTGGGTAGGTTTCTGAGGTCCTATTGCCAGGACCAGCCGGGGGATTGGTCGGAATATATCCCCTGGGCAGAGATGGCCCAAAACTCCCTCCGCCACTCCTCCACTAACCTGTCTCCATTTCAGTGTGTGTTAGGTTATCAGCCGGTCCTGGCACCGTGGCATCAGAGCCAGATCGAGGCACCTGCGGTGCATGAATGGTTTCGGCGCTCGGAGGAAACCTGGAACGCTGCCCATGTACGCCTGCAATGGGCTATCAGGCGACAGAAAGCGAGCGCCGACCGCCACTGCGGTGAGGCCCCGGTGTATGCACCGGGGGACCGGGTCTGGCTCTCGACCCGAAACCTGCCCCTTCGCCTGCCCTGCCGGAAGCTGTGTCGGCGGTTTGTGGGGCCATTTAAAGTCCTGAGGAGATTGAACGAGGTTTGTTATAGGTTACAGCTCCCTCCTGATTACCATATTAATCCCTCGTTCCATGTGTCTCTCCTCAGGCCGGTGGTAGCTGGTCCGCTCCAGGAGTCTGAGGTGCGGGAGGTCCCTCCGCCCCCACTGGACATCGAGGGGGCACCGGCGTACTCGGTCCGTTCCATCCTGGATTCTAGGCGTCGGGTGGGGGGCCTGCAGTATCTCGTGGAGTGGGAGGTGTACGGTACGGAGGAACGGTGCTGGGTTCCTAGGAGGGACATCCCTGATCCCTCCCTGTTGAGGGATTTCCACCGTCGTCATCTGACTCGCCCTGCCCCGCGTCCTCCTGGCCGTTCCCGAGGCTGGTGTCAGGAGCCGCACGAATTCAGCAGCGCCTCCTCCTTGCTCGGGCAGGCTTCGGCGTTCGTCGTCACCAGAGTACTAGCTGCCACCGATCTATGTTTCTGTGTTTTACTTGTTTTGTCTTTATTGCACACACCTGGTTCCAATGTACGTTAATTTGTTTCCCTATTTTACCCTCTGGTTCTCTCATGGTGTTGTGCGTGATTGTTCGTTGTCTTGTTGTCATTTGCTGTGAGTCGGTATTTTCTTCCCTGCGTGGAGGATATGTTTATTTACTTGTGATAAGTAAAGTACGTCGTTGACCAAGTTCTGTGTCCTGCGCCTGACTCCGTCCTACTTCTACACACGGACGCATGACAGTTTCCCTTCCATTTGGGACTTATTTTACTGTACTGATCAACAACATTTGCATAGAAGAAGCAATCTCTTCTTTTATAAAAGTGTCTCTTTAAAACCCATGATGTCATTCACACAAACATTCAGTTCGAGGCATGAGGAAAAAATACGATCTTGACTGGGAAAGACGTGAGGCATGGGAGACAAAGTGAATGATAATTGTTTTTGGTGACAATCAGCTTTGAAATCAGCAATATTTAATACAACCGTTTTTCATGTTCTAGTTAAAAAAGTACAAAAGATTTGGGATACTTTGCAACACTATGAGACATGCTGTTGATTGACATTCAATTGGCCAATGATATTGCACAGAAAAGGAGGCACCACTGTGAATAATACATCTCCCCTCTTTTGTATTGAATATACAGAAGAGGCTTTGACTAGAAACTAATAATGTGCGGAAACACCGAATCCCACTGTATCTGTGCACATGAGCATTATTTCTGATGACATACCAGATCCCCTAAATATTGTATGGGCCCATCTCCCACTTTCAAATAGCTGCTTGCGTCAGCTGTACACCATCAACCTCCCCTCAACACACACACACAGAGTTGATGTTGGAGGGTGCATGTGTGTCATTTAGAACTTACTTTTATTCATGGTGGTGCTACAAAGAGGAGGCAGTCACTTTGTTCTACACAGCGGTGGTCTAACACACTGTGTCTCTGCGTGTTCTATTCATTTCAAGCTCCCTAAGATCCCTCCTCTCCCAACACTGGCCAATTAAGACATTAACAAGGGCTAATTGCTGAGGGAAATGACTCGAAAGGAATCTGATGGGAAACTTCCTAGTTGTTAAAGTTTGGAAAGCCATGCCAATCGGAAATGACTTGAGCTGTAATTAACCATTAGCAATAGAAGTAAATATTGTTTCACCCCCCAATAATCAAGTATCTTCTCTACCATTTTTGCAATATTAGTAATATAAAATATAGTGTACCCACCATTTAAAGCATGACATAATGCAAATAGACATAATGAGAATCAAAGTAACATGATGACCGTCTGACCGACCAAGATGGGTTCCCACAGGCGATACTGACTAACCACGGAACACAATTACTCAGTGTCGAGTTCCCTGACTTCCGTCCCATCCCAAATCCTCTGTCAGACGGATTCATTCACTTCTATTCTTCTAAATTAAGTGGATTTGATTGGAGGCTTACCTGGTCCCAGTCTATACTGCGGAAAAACGTGTGCGACTTGATGTCAGTGAAGCCCGTTTGGACCTGGCAACCCAGCCGCTCTTTGGGGTCCTGTTAGGTGGAGAGAAACAAGTAGAATCAAGAGTTGGCATGCTCAACGCAATAGTCCATAAACAAACATCTTTGGTTGCAGGGTTGGAAAGGCTTATCAACTGTAGAGAAATTAAGAATCAGGACAGGAGGAAATGACAGAAAATATATATCTGCCATCAGTCATTCAAGCATATTTGTTGCACCAATTTTTATAGATGGTTTTTAACACCAATTACAGCAATGTGATCTTGGTCGAATGTAGAGATGTAATATTTACTCAAATTAAACAAAGTTCAGTCAGTATTTCCCTCAAACAAACCCTTACACAATTCCTTTATCCTTGAAACATCCCAAAACAAGGTGATTATCAAAATACCACCAATGAAAAACACACACTAACTCCTTATGCTACCAACAATTCACAGATTAACGATTGTACTAACAGTTTATCTCCATAATCACAATATATTTATTTTACTTTATATTTATTTCAAATCAAATCAAATGTTATTGGTCACATACACATATTTCGCAGATCTTATTGCGGGTGTAGCGAAATGCTTGTGTTCCTAGCTCCAACAGCGCAGTAGTATCTAACAATTCACAACAATACACAAATCTAAAAGTAAAAAAATGGAATAAAGAAAACTAGTACGAGCAATATTGGAGTGGCATTGACTACAATACAGTATAATAGAATACAGTATATACATATGAGATGAGTAAAACAGTATGTAAACATTATTAAAGTGGCCAGTGATTCCATGTGTATATAAATATAGGGCAGCAGCCTCTAAGGTGCAGGGTTGAGTAGCCGGGTGATAGCCATCTAGTGATGGCTATTTAACAGTCTGATGGCCTTGAGTTAGAAGCTGTTTTTCAGTCTCTCGGTCCCAGCTTTGATGCACCTTTACTGACCTCTGTTGTTTGATCTACTACTATTTTGTATTATTCTGTGGAAATGTAATCCAGAGGATAAGTTTTTTTGTCATATGGGGCCAGTGTTTCCTTTACAGCAGATGTAGGCCACCTTGGAGTTCCTAGGAGAGTAGAGTGATCGCTGCATTGCTAAATTTGTTGCCAATTAGCTAACCCCCCTGTCTATTCCACCCCTCTAGGTATAGTGGCTAGTGAAAGTCTACATACCCCTTGCACAGTCTTCACAATTTGCTGCCTTAAAATTAAATCTAAAAAGGGATTAAATGTGATGGGGGGGGGGGGGGGGTCCAAAATAGGGGAGGGTTGTCTAACTAATTATTAAGCACAGGGGAGGGTAGTGTGTTTTTTCACTGGTTTACATTCCCAATTTTTCAAGTTTTACTTTATAATTTCTTCCATGCCAAATGTCCTTATCTGCTTGCATGCTCCTCCCCTATCAAGGTGTTTTGGTATTTTCCTATGCACTACGCTTTTCTGCATGCTTACTATACCACAGGTCAATATAGTCTACCAGTCAACTGTCTATCCTGCCCTCTATCCGTAGTCACAATAGTGGTTTGTCCAGATATGCAATAGGTTAACTAGCAATCATACCACATATAAAATCATTCAAATCTGCACCAATTTTCAATATACAGTGCATTCGGAAAGTATTCAGACCCCTTGACTTTTTCCACATTTTGGTACGTTACAGCCTTATTCTAAAATTGATTATATTGTTTCTTTTTCCCTCATCAATCTACACACAATACCCCATAATGACAAAGCAAAAACAGGTTTTTAGAAGAAACCCCACCCCCCCCGGAAATATCACATTTACATAAGTATTCAGACCCTTGACTCAGTACTTTGTTGAAGCACCTTTGGTAGCGATTACAGCCTCTAGTCTTCTTGGGTATGACGCTACAAGCTTGGCAAACCTGTATTTGGGGAGTTTCTCCCATTCTTCTCTGCAGATGCTCTCAAGCTCTGTCAGGTTGGATGGGGAGCGTCGTTGCACAGCTATTTTCAGGTCTCTCCAAAGATGTTAGATCGGGTTCAAGTCCGGGCTCTGGCTGGGCCACTCAAGAACATTCAGAGACTTGTCCTGAAGCCACTCTTGCGTTGTCTTGGTTGTGTGCTTAGGGTCGTTGTCCTGTTGGAAGGTGAACCTTTGCCCCCAGTCTGAGGTCCTGAGCACTCTGGAGCAGGTTTTCATCAAGGATCTCTCTGTACTTTGCTCCGTTCATCTTTCCCTCGATCCTGATTAGTCTCCCAGTCCCTGCTACTGAAAAACATCCCCACAGCATGATGCTGCCACCACCATGCTTCACCGTAGGGATGGTGCCAGGTTTCCTCCAGACGTGATGCTTGGCATTCAGGCCAAAGAGTTCAATCTTGGTTTCATCAGACCAGAGCATCTTTTTTCTCATCCTTTAGGGGCCTTTTGGCAAACTCCAAGCGGGCTGTCATGTGCCTTTTACTGAGGAGTGGCTTCAGTCTGGCCACTCTACCATAATGTCCTGATTGGTGGAGTGCTGTAGAGATGGTTGTCCTTCTGGAAGGTTCTCCCATCTCCACAGAGGAACTATGGAGCTCTGTCAGAGTGACCATCGGGTTCTAGGTCACCTCCCTGACCAAGGCCCTTCTCCCCCGATTGCTCAGTTTGGCCGGGCGGCCAGCTCTAGGAAGAGTCTTGGTGGTTCCAAACTTCTTACATTTAAGAAGGATGGAGGCCACTATGTTCTTGGGGACCTTCAATGCTGCAGAAATTTTTTGGTACCCTTCCCCAGATCTGTGCCTCGACACAATCCTGTTTCGGAGCTCTACGGACAATTCCTTCGACCTCATGGCTTGGTTTTTGCTCTGACATGCACTGTCAACTGTGGGATCTTATATAGACAGGTGTGTGCCTTTCCAAATCATGCCCAATCAATTGAATTTACCACAGGCGGACTCCAATCAAGTTGTAGAAACATCTCAAGGATGATCAATGGAAACAGGATGCACCTGAGCTCAATTTCGAGTCTCATAGCAAAGGGTCTGAATACTTATGTAAATAAGGTATTTCTGTTCTTTAATATTTAATAAATTTGCAAACATTTCTAAAATCCTGGTTTCGCTTTGTCATCATGGGGTATTGTGTATAGATTGATGAGGTCATTTTTTTATTTAAACAATTTTTAAATAAGGCTGTAACGTAACAAAATGTGGAAAAAGGGAAGGGGTCTGAATTGAAGTGCATTGTAAATCCACAAGAACATAGAGGAATAGCCGATAGGCAGCAGAGAGGCCAGGTGCGTCTGCGCATGAAAGAACAGCGAAGACATGAGACACGCAGCTCAAAAACCGCCCTTATTGATCTTGTTTAGGGATGATAACAAATTATCCTACATAGACTAGCCTCCAACACGACAATGCAATGAATAATTGTGAGTAATAAAGTGAGTACAATTGAGAACAATTCTACTCTAGGCTGTAAACTGCAGTAAAATTGTAATTTGAATAATGGCACAAAAGCCCTGTTATTTGAATGTTTCATTCCATTCATATCAGTAGTGGTTCTGCTCTCGACAGATTATAAGGTCTAGAAAGGTACAGTAACAGGCCAGTCTGGCTGTATTTTTGATTCTGATGCGCTGTCTGTTGCCGATCATCATTTTCCCAAGTCGTCCAATATAGTGTATTCAAGAAAGCTTAACGCGCGTTCTGCCTCCTTTCCGGTCCGATTCCGATCATTTGGGTTAACTAGCAATCATACCACACATAAAAAGCCCCCCATATTAATTATGAATACAAAAATTATAATAATCTCGGAGCAGTGATGCAAAATGATCCAACAGTAATGTCCCAAGAAGAAAGTTACCCCACCTGAATAATGCAAAAGTTACATATGAACTACAATTCATGAGGAGAGAGAGTGCAGGAGTCATATCATAAGGCAAGCAGCGGACCATAAACAGCTTTGTAGCAGCAGCAGCGGCTTAATCAAGCATGGTGCTGAAAGTACACTGAACAGAAATATAAACCCAATATGCAACAATTTCAAAGATTTTACTGAGTTACAGTTCATATAAGGAAATAAGTCAATTGAAATTAATTAATTAAGCCCTAATCTATGGATTTCACATGACTGGGAATACAGATATGCATCTGTTGGTCACAGATAACAAAAATAAAAGGTAGGGGCGTGGATCAGAAAACCAGTCAGTATCTGGTGTGACCACCATTTGCCTCATGCAGCGCGACACATCTCCTTCACATAGAGTTGGTCAGGCTGTTGATTGTGGCCTGTGAAATGTTGTCCCACTCCTCTTCAATGGCTGTGAGAAGTTGCTGGATATTGGCGTGAACTGGAATATGCTGTCGTACACGTCGATCCAGAGCATCCCAAACATGCTCAATGGGTGACATGTCTGGTGAGTATGCAGGCCATGGAAGAACTGGGACATTTTCAGCTTCCAGGAGTTGTGTACAGATCATTATCATGCTGAAACATGAGGAGATGGCAGTGGATGAATGGCACGACACGCTGTCTGCCATCTGCCCGGTACAGTTGAAACCGGGATGAATCCGTGAAGAGCACTTCTTCAGCGTGCCAGTGGCCATCGAAGGTGAGCATTTGTCAACTGACGTCGGTTACGACGCGGAACTACAGTCAGGTCAAGACCCTGGTGAGGACGACGAGCACGCAGATGAGCTTCCCTGAGACGGGGTAATTGGGGGGTTGTGGTGCTGAGGAGTATGTTAGTTATAATAATGCATATTTTTGGGGGTTTTTGCTCAATCTGATTGGTGCCATGCCTGTGCTCCTGATATCTTTGCTTAATCTCTATGACATTCTGAGGCTGAGCCACGGCCTTCTGGATTTGAGGAGACAAAAATTGACTACTATTATGTCTCTATCAGCTATTCACTTTCTAAAAAGATAAGATGTTTAAACTTTTAGGGAAGCACTTGTTTGTTAACTTCTGTTGTTGGATTAATTAAGCAACGGACGAGTATTACCTTTTATGTGTGGCATAAACACAACCAGTCATAATGTTGTAATGTAATTTGGCTACTTCAAAAGTCTCCTGTAGGCTACCTGCACACGTTCATCCACTCCACTATAATATTATTGCAGCATCCAAACTTTGCAGCGGCCAATTGATGAATGGAAAGAGACATCTGTTACAAAACACCAAAATGTTGAATGACATTCGGAGATTGACAAGCCAAGCCTTCAATACTGAGTAGGGAGGGATGTATTTTCTGTTTGTCGAGATTTACATACTCTATTTGATTGTGGTGTTGAAAACGCAAACCATGACGAAGCACTAGAAGTCTGTTGCATAATTATAAATATAGCATCAACATGTTGAAAATGAGATGTCCCCCTAGCTGATCATTGTCTGCAGCCAGCTCTGATCGTAGTGTAATGAAACAGGCAGGGAGAATGAGCTCGTCCATGGTGGCCGGCGAACCCTCAGCCTTCTGGCCCGTAGCCCTGCGTGGCATCGACTGTGCCACAAAACCATGCTGTTTGCATTTTTTTCCTACGACAATCGAGAAACGCAGGGCAGGATCAACTAGGGAATCATTGTGTAATGTGAAGACCAACATCCTGGGTTTGAGGATGGACGGAATGAAAGATTTGGGACACGGAAATCAGGAAAAGTGAGCAGGTCCAAGATGTTAAGATTTTAGAAGTCGTGTTTAGTGTATGCCCAGCATAACCATGAGACTAGACCACTGGTGTGTCTTTAGCACACACATTTGTGTAATCATCTATCCCAGGGTTAGGTTTTCAGAAGACTGAGGTGGGTTTTCCTTTAACATTTTACCTGGGCTTTACACCTTTCATATTTATTTTCATCCTGACAAACTCCCCAGTCCCTGCTGATGACAATCATACGCATAGCATGAAGCTGCCACCAACCTGACCCAAACCTTGAAGTTTTAAGATTGACACTGAAAGTATGCTAGATAATGACAATCATAGTTGGGATTTTGAGAAAATTTTAAAAATCATTAAAATGACTTTAGCATATGTATTTTGAAATACATTTCAGAATTAAATTGTTTAAAAGCAAATAGTATTGTTATTTGATCTGTTCTTAGCCCAAATATGCCAAATATATGATTAAACTAATTGTCGTTTGTGAACTACAGACATTTCTGTAACGTACTACATTTAGTCTTTGGACACATAGTTACAGTTTTTTACTCATTTCATGAATCAAGTCGTGTGAATACATGTTCAAATAATTAGATCTTAATAATGTTTGGTATATAGATTGTCCGGACAACATCTTTATTTTTACTGTTTTCTACATTGTGAATAATAGTGAAGACATCATAACTATGAAATAACACCAAAAAAAGTGTTAAACAAATCAAAATATATTTTATATTTGAGATTCTTCAAAGTAGCCACCCTTTGCCTTGATGACAGCTTTGCACACTCTTGGCATTCTCTCAACCAGCTTCATGAGGTAGTCACCTGGAATGCATTACAATTAACAGGTGTGCCTTCTCAAAAGTTAATTTGTGGAATTTCTTTCCTTCTTAATGTGTTTGAGCCAATCAGTTGTGTTGTGACAAGGTAGGGGGGTATACAGCAGATAGCCCTATTTGGTAAAAGACCAAGTCCATATTATGGCAAGAACAGCTCAAATAAGCAAAGAGAAACAACAGTCCATCATTACTTTAAGTCATGAAGGTCAGTTAATCCGGAACATTTAAAAAACTTTGAGAGTTTCTTCAAGTGCAGTCGCAAAAACCATCAAGCGCTATGACGAAACTGGCTCTCATGAGGACCGCCACAGGAAAGAAAGACCCAGAGTTACCTCTTCTGCAGAGGATAAGTTCATTAGAGTTAACTGCACCTCAGTTTGCAGCCCAAATAAATGCTTCACAGTGTTCAAGTAACAGACACATCTCAACATCAACTGTTCAGAGGAGACTGCGTGAATCAGGCCTTCATGGTTGAATTGCTGCAAAGAAATCACTACTAAAGGACACCAATAAGATGAAGAGACTTGCTTGGGCCAAGAAACACGAGCAATGGACATTAGACCGGTGGAAATCTGTCCTTTGGTCTGATGAGTCCAAATTTGGTGAATGGATGATCTCCGCATGTGTTGTTCCCACCGTGAAGCATGGAGGAGGAGGTGTGATGGTGTGGGGGTGCTTTGCTGGTGACACTGTCTGTGATTTATTTAGAATTCAAGGCACACTTAACCAGCATGGCTACCACAGCATTCTGCAGCAACACGCCATCCAATCTGGTTTGCGCTTAATGGGACTATCATTTGTTTTTCAACAGGACAATGACCCAACACACCTCCAGGCTATGTAAGGGCTATTTGACCAAGAAGGAGAGTGATGGAGTGCTGCATCAGATGACCTGGCCTCCGCAATCACCCGACCTCAACCCAATTGAGATGGTGTGGGATGAGTTGGACCGCAGAGTGAAGGAAAAGCAGCCAACAAGTGCTCAGCATATGTAGGAACTCCTTCAAGACTGTTGGAAAAGGTGGTTCGCGCTTTTAGATTTGCGCGAATGCTGCCGTCTATCCACGGTTTCTGCTTAGGGTAGGTTTTAAATGGAGAGTGAGGCATGCTACAGCATTCTCCTTCTTTCTTTCTCTCTCTCACAAGCACACGTGTGTACACACATACCACAGACATACACACATGCGGGTGTGCATGGATGTCTCATGGTAGGGTGGGGTATGCAAAATGGGTCATGTTTGAGTACTTTCTGACCACTTCTAACATGGGCAAACATGTATGGAAGGTTTTGTTTGCACTGCGCCAGAATTTCCTATAAGTGTTCAATTGGGTTGAGATCTGGTGACTGAGATGGCTATGGCGTTTTCATGCTCGTCAAACCATTCAGTGACCACTCGTGCTGTATGGATGGGGCATTATCATCCTATGGGGGCGTAGCCTGGTAGCTAAAATAATGGCCTGCCCAGCATTTTTATACATGACCCTAAGCATGATGGGATGTTAATTGCTTAATTAACTAAGGAACCACAACTGTGTGGAAGCACCTGCTTTCAATATACTTTGTATCCCTCGTTTACTTAAGTGTTTCCATTATTTTGTTAGTTACCTGTAGGTTGCCCTGAGAGTTGTTGAAGGTTGGCTGCCAAAGGTGCTTACACCAAGTATTAACTCTGGGGTGTGAAGACATATGCAATCAATCCATCCTCATTTTGTATTTCTTAGTCATTTGGACAATTTTCTATCATTTTTCTTTCACTTTGAAAATGTGGAGTAGGTTGTGTAGATCGGCAGGAAAAAAAATCTAATTTGATCCCTTTTTAGATTGAATTGTATGGCAGAAAAATGTGAAGACTGTGCAAGGGGTGTGTAGACTTTCACTAGCGACTGTATGTTTGGACAAACCAATGCCCCCAGCTAACCTTTTCATCAGTACAATTATTTTATTATTAGCACCCTAACTAGCAGAGGCTTAATGCATGTGAAGAGCTCCAAGGCCATTCACACAAAAATATACTGTTTTACTAAACCATGCATATCAGGGATGAAACACTCACACACGTGTAGAAACAAATACACAGTAACTGTAGTGGATGTGAAACTCCATAGTATAACAAACAAACAAACATGTGAACGCACACACACATAGGCGCGCACATAAACTCGCTGTCTCTCAGCCAAATGGGTAAGGCCTTCACCGAGTGGCTGTCATGTTGCTGTCCTAATGTGGACTTGGCTACGTTCCTACACACGCTGATTTCACTGAGCACTGCAAATAGACAGGGAGAGGGGGAGGGAAGGAGAGAGGGAGACACCTGATTGGGCACACTGGGTTTACACTACAGCGTTCTTCTCTCACCTTGTTTAAAAAGCCCTTCAGCACGCTGGCAGCCTTCACTGACAGAGACCTTGGGATGCGAATGGGCTTTTCGAGAATAACTGTGTGGAGAAGACAGAGAAAAAGAATGAGTGAGAAAGAGAGAGGGAAAGACAATCATGTGGAGGGCGGGAGGGAGGCAAACAATTGGTGATTCACCATCCAGCCAGCCTGTGGGTCCCTGCGCCTGTTGCGTACGAACCAGTGGGCGGAAGGGGGGATGAGAGAAGAGGAGGAGGAGAAGAGGAGGGATGAGGGGGCTCTGTTCTGTGACTGCGTCAGTCATGTTCTGTAGTACAGCACGTTCGGTTTTTCGCAGTGGGAAACAGTTTGGTAGTATTGTGTAGCGCTTCATCTTGTGTTGGTTAGTTGGACTCACATAATCTCTCCTTCCTCCTGAGGTGTGCACATGTTCACTCCTCCCCACATTAAGAGCATTGGATTGGTGTAGGCATGGGCTAGATTAAGTTTCTTAAACCAGTCATTTCCTGTTAAATCCATAAAGGCAAGTGAACAAGTGCGTACTTCGGGAGAAAGGAGAGATTATTGGAACGCACTCTGTCGGGTCAAGTCAATCCTTGATTGACCTCAAATCCCCACTCTCCCAGCAACACAACAAAACAGATAGATATTTCTGATTACTCATCAACAAACATTGCATGTCTAAGAGTAGACGCAAAGCCGTTTAACTTCCCTGGCTCTCTGATGAACAGATTACAGCAGGAAGAGTAGTGTTGTTTATCCTCTTCTTCCTAAATGCCCCCAGCCGGCCGGCCAGCTCTGTTCTGTTTGTTTACACTGAGTCCTAATGGAATGTTAACGGGATCAGTCACTGGCTGCATCTCAAATGGCTAGGGCTCTGTTCAAAAGTAGCGCACAATGTAGGGAATATGGTGCCATTTGGGATGCAACCTCTGTGATGGGGTTTAGGGTTAAGGAGCTTGGCCTAGGGCCAGGGTTAGGAACACTGATGGTGACATGTGTCTAGTGGTCGCCAGAAGGAAGTGTTGGGGAGCAGTATAGTATGGCAGAGTGTAGCATAGTATAGACGGAAAGGCAGGCAGACAGAAGGAAAAGGCAGGAAGACAGACAAGCGGACAGACTGACAGTTGGTACAAAACGTTCCATGACATTCTCATTTGGTTACAACCTAATTGTTATGGATCTTTGGATACCACCATGCCAACCCCATACTCTGTTTACATGTCTATGGTTCTGTGGTCTGGCATGTGTGCCAGGGTTTCCCAGGGTGAGGTTGGCACAGGTCAGGCTTTTGGCATTACGCTAGCCCTCTCCTACAGAGAGAGGGGCTTGTTTCCGCTAGCGAGGAGGCATCAAGGAGACATGCTGCTTGCCCTGTTGGGGCATGAGGAGGACCAAAAGGCTGGTAGATGTCCGTTCCAATGCCCATGCCAAGGCTTCCATGGGTGGGCATGGTGGAGAGAGACGGGGTTGTGGTACAGTATAGCACATACGAATAGAATTACTAGAACGGACATCCCATTCAATCAATTCTATTTCTATGGTATAATACAGTGGGGGAAAAAAGTATTTAGTCAGCCACCAATTGTGCAAGTTCTCCCACTTAAAAAGATGAGAGAGGCCTGTAATTTTCATCATAGGTACACGTCAACTATGACAGACAAATTGAGAAAAAAAATCCAGAAAATCACATTGTAGGATTTTTTAATAAATTTATTTGTAAATTATGGTGGAAAATAAGTATTTGGTCACCTACAAACAAGCAAGATTTCTGGCTCTCACAGACCTGTAACTTCTTCTTTAAGAGGCTCCTCTGTCCTCCACTCGTTACCTGTATTAATGGCACCTGTTTGAACTTGTTATCAGTATAAAAGACACCTGTCCACAACCTCAAACAGTCACACTCCAAACTCCACTATGGCCAAGACCAAAGAGCTGTCAATGGACACCAGAAACAAAATTGTAGACCTGCACCAGGCTGGGAAGACTGAATCTGCAATAGGTAAACAGCTTGGTTTGAAGAAATCAACTGTGGGAGCAATTATTAGGAAATGGAAGACATACAAGACCACTGATAATCTCCCTCGATCTGGGGCTCCACGCAATATCTTACCCCTTGGGGTCAAAATGATCACAAGAACGGTGAGCAAAAATCCCAGAACCACACGGGGGGACCTAGTGAATGACCTGCAGAGAGCTGGGACCAAAGTAACAAAGCCTACCATCAGTAACACACTACGCCGCCAGGGACTAAAATCCTGCAGTGCCAGACGTGTCCCCCTGCTTAAGCCATGTCCTGTCTGAAGTTTGCTAGAGTGCATTTGGATGATCCAGAAGAGGATTGGGAGAATGTCATATGGTCAGATGAAACCAAAATAGAACTTTTTGGTAAAAACTCAACTCGTCGTGGTTGGAGGACAAAGAATGCTGAGTTGCATCCAAAGAACACCATACCTACTGTGAAGCATGGGGGTGGAAACATCATGCTTTGGGGCTGTTTTTCTGCAAAGGGACCAGGACGACTGATCCGTGTAAAGGAAAGAATGAATGGGGCCATGTATCGTGAGATTTTGAGTGAAAACCTCCTTCCATCAGCAAGGGCATTGAAGATGAAACGTGGCTGGGTCTTTCAGCATGACAATGATCCCAAACACACCGCCCGGGCAACGAAGGAGTGGCTTCGTAAGAAGCATTTCAAGGTCCTGGAGTGGCCTAGCCAGTCTCCAGATCTCAACCCCATAGAAAATCTTTGGAGGGAGTTGAAAGTCTGTGTTGCCCAGCGACAGCCCCAAAACATCACTGCTCTAGAGGAGATCTGCATGGAGGAATGGGCCAAATCAAATCAAATCAAATTTTATTGGTCACATGCGCCGAATACAACAGGTGCAGACATTACATTGAAATGCTTACTTACAGCCCTTAACCAACAGTGCATTTATTTGTAAAAAAAAAAGTAAAAATAAAACAACAACAAAAAAAGTGTTGAGAAAAAAAGAGCAGAAGTCAAATAAAATAACAGTAGGGAGGCTATATATACAGGGGGGTACCGGTGCAGAGTCAATGTGCGGGGGCACCGGCTAGTTGAGATAGTTGAAGTAATATGTACATGTGGGTAGAGTTAAAGTGACTATGCATAAATAATTAACAGAGTAGCAGCAGCGTAAAAAGGATGGGGTGGGGGGGGCAATGCAAATAGTCCGGGTAGCCATGATTAGCTGTTCAGGAGTCTTATGGCTTGGGGGGTAGAAGCTGTTGAGAAGTCTTTTGGACCTAGACTTGGCACTCCGGTACCGCTTGCCGTGCGGTAGCAGAGAGAACAGTCTATGACTAGGGTGGCTGGAGTCTTTGACAATGTTGAGGGCCTTCCTCTGACACCACCTGGTATAGAGGTCCTGGATGGCAGGAAGCTTGGCCCCAGTGATGTACTGGGCCGTACGCACTACCCTCTGTAGTGCCTTGCGGTCGGAGGCCAAGCAGTTGCCATACCAGGCGGTGATGCAACCAGTCAGGATGCTCTCGATGGTGCAGCTGTATACTTTTTTGAGGATCTGAGGACCCATGCCAAATCTTTTCAGTCTCCTGAGGGGGAATAGGCTTTGTCGTGCCCTCTTCACGACTGTCTTGGTGTGTTTGGACCATGATAGTTCGTTGGTGATGTGGACACCAAGGAACTTGAAGCTCTCAACCTGTTCCACTACAGCCCTGTCGATGAGAATGGGGGCGTGCTCAGTCCTCTTTTTTTTCCTGTAGTCCACAATCATCTCCTTTGTCTTGGTCACGTTGAGGGAGAGGTTGGTTGTCCTGGCACCACACGGCCAGGTCTCTGACCTCCTCCCTCTAGGCTGTCTCATTGTTGTCGGTGATCAGGCCTACCACTGTTGTGTCGTCGGCAAACTTAATGATGTTGTTAGAGTCGTGCCTGGCCATGCAGTCATGGGTGAACAGAGAGTACAGGAGGGGACTGAGCACGCACCCCTGAGGGGCCCCCGTGTTAAGGATCAGTGTGGCAGATGTGTTGTTACCTACCCTTACCACCTGGGGGCGGCCCGTCAGGAAGTCCAGGATCCAGTTGCAGAGGGAGGTGTTTAGTCCCAGGATCCTTAGCTTAGTGATGAGCTTAGAGGGCACTATGGTGTTGAATGCTGAGCTGTAGTCAATGAATAGCATTCTCACGTAGGTGTTCCTCTTGTCCAGGTGGGAAAGGGCAGTGTGGAGTGCAATAGAGATTGCATCATCTGTGGATCTGTTGGGGCGGTATGCAAATTGGAGTGGGTCTAGGGTTTCTGGGATAATGCTGTTGATGTGAGCCATGACCAGCCTTTCAAAGCACTTCATGGCTACAGACGTCAGTGCTACGGGTCGGTAGTCATTTAGGCAGGTTATCTTAGAGTCCTTGGGCACGGGGACTATGGTGGTCTGCTTGAAACATGTTGGTATTACAGACTCAGTCAGGGACATGTTGAAAATACCAGCAACAGTGTGTGAAAACCTTGTGAAGACTAACAGAAAACGTTTGACATGTGTCATTGCCAATAAAGGGTATATAACAAAAGTATTGAGAAACTTTTGTTATTGACCAAATACTTATTTTCCACCATAATTTGCAAATAAATTCATTAAAAATCCTACAATGTGATTTTCTGGAGAAAAAAAATCTCATTTTGTCTGTCATAATTGACGTGTACCTATGATGAAAATTTCAGGCCTCTCTCATCTTTTTAAATGGGAGAACTTGCACAATTGGTGGCTGACTAAATACTTTTTTCCCCCCACTGTACATACAGTTGAAGTCGGAAGTTTACATACACCTTAGCCAAATACATTTAAACTCAGTTTTTCACAATTCCTGACATTTAATCCTAGTAAAAATTCCCTGTCTTAGGTCAGTTAGGATCACCACTTTATTTTAAGAATGTGAAATGTCAGAATAATAATAATATAATATGCCATTTAGCAGACGCTTTTATCCAAAGCGACTTACAGTCATGCGTACATACATTTTTTTTGTGTATGGGTGGTCCCGGGGTTCGAACCCACTACCCTGGCGTTACAAGCGTCGTGCTCTACAAGCTGAGCTACAGAGGACCATAATAGTAGAGAGAATGATTTATTTAAGCTTTTATTTCTTTCATCACATTCCCAGTGGGTCAGAAGTTTACATTCACTCAATAAGTATTTGGTAGCATTGCCTTTAAATTGTTTAACTTGGGTCAAACGTTGCGGGTAGCCTTCCACAAGCTTCCCACAATAAGTTGGGTGAATTTTGGCCCATTCCTCCTGACAGAGCTGGTGTAACTGAGTCAGGTTTGTAGGCATCCTTGCTCGCACACGCTTTTTCAGTTCTGCCCTACAAATGTTCTATAGGATTGAGGTCAGGGCTTTGTGATGGCCACTCCAATACCTTATCCTTAAGCCATTTTGCCACAACCTTGGAAGTATGCTTGGGGTCATTGTCCATTTGGAAGACCCATTTGCAACCAAGCTTTAACTTCCTGACTGATGTCTTGAGATGTTGCTTCAATATATCCACATCTATTTTATGAAGTGCACCAGTCCCTCCTGCAGCAAAGCACCCCCACAGCATGATGCTGCCACCCCCGTGCTTCACGGTTGGGATGGTGTTCGTCGGAATGCAAGCAACCCCCTTTCTCCTCCAAACATAACGATGGTCATTATGGCCAAACAGTTCTATTTTTATTCATCAGGCCAGAGGCCATTTCTCCAAAAAGTACGATCTTTGTCCCCATGTGCAGTTGCAAACCGTAGTCTGGCTTTTTTATGGCGGTTTTGGAGCAGTGGCTTCTTCCTTGCTGAGCGGCTTTTCAGGTTGTGTCGATATAGGACTCGTTTTACTGTGGATATAGATACTTTTGTAACTTTTTCCTCCAGCATCTTCACAAGGTCCTTTGCTGTTGTTCTGGGATTGATTTGCACTTTTCGCACCAAAGTACGTTCATCTCTAGGAGACAGAACCCATCTCCTTCCTGAGCGGTATGACGGCTGCGTGGTCCCATGGTGTTTATACTTGCATACTATTGTTTGTACAGATGAACGTGGTACCTTCAGGCGTTTGGAAATTGCTCCCAAGGATGAACCAGACTTGTGGAGGTCTACAATTTTTTTCTGAGGTCTTGGCTGATTTCTTTTGATTTTCCCATGATGTCAAGCAAAGAGACACTGAGTTTGAAGGTAGCCTTGAAATACATCCACAGGTACACCTCCAATTGACTCAAATGATGTCAATTAGCCTATCAGAAGCTTCTAAAGCCATGACATAATTTTCTTGAATTTTCCAAGCTGTTTAAAGGCATAGTGAACTTAGTGCATGTAAACTTCTGACCCACTGGAATTGTGATACAGTGAATTATAAGTGAAATAATCTGTCTGTAAACAACTGTTGGAAAAATTAAGTAGATGTCCTAACCGACTTGCCAAAACTATAGTTTGTTAACAATACATGTGTGGAGTGGTTGAAAAACTAGTTTTAATGACTCCAACCTAAGTGTATGTAAACTTCCGACTTCAACTGTATGTCATACAAGAGGCAGTTGGCTCTCCAGTGGTCTTGCCTATCCAGATAGCTCTAGCTGTCCAAATGTCTCATACTTATTTTTAGTGTGCAAATCTTTATCGGTTTTAACACAAAATACATCAAACCTAACATATTGAGTGACGTGTGGTGTGTTTGTGTGCTGTGGTTTTGGAGCACCAAAAGACACATTTTCAGATATACAGTTAGACATACAGTACCTGTCAAAAGTTTGGACACACCTACTCATTCAAGGGTTTTTCTTTATTTTTACTATTTTCTACATTGTAGAATATTCGTGGACATCAAATCTATGAAATAGCACATATGGAATCATGTAGTAACCAAAGAAGTGTTATAACAAATCTAAATATATTTTCTATTTGAGATTCTTCAAATAGCCACCCTTTGCCTTGATGACAGCTTTGCACACTCTTGGCATTCTCTCAACCAGCTTCACCTGGAATGCTTTTCCAACAGTCTTGAAGGAGTTCCCACATATGCTGAGCACTTGTTGGCTGCTTTTCCTTCACTCTGCCGTCCGACTCACCCCAAACCATCTCAATTGGGTTGAGGTCGGCGGATTGTGGAGGCCAGGTCATCTGATGCAGCACTCCATCACTCTCCTTCTTGGTAAAATAGCCCTTACACAGCCTGGAGGTGTGGTTGGGTCATTGTCCTGTTGAAAAACGAATGATAGTCCCACTAAGCCCAAACCAGATGGGATGGGGTATCGCTGCAGAATGCTGTGGTAGCCATGCTGGTTAAGTGTGCCTTGAATTCTATATAAATCACAGACAGTGTCACCAGCAAAGCACCCCCACACCATAACACCTCCTACTCCATGCTTTATGGTGGGAACTACACATGCGGAGATCATCTGTTTACCCACACAGTGTCTCACAAAGACACATCGGTTGGAACCAAAAATCTCCAGTTAGGACTCCAGACCAAAGGTCAAGTTCCACCGGTCTAATGTCCATTGCTCGTGCTTCTTGGCCCAAGCAGGTCTCTTCTTCTTATTGGTGTCCTTTAGTAGTGGTTTCTTCTGATTTACACAGTCCCCTTTGAACAGTTGATGTTGAGATGTGTCTGTGACTTGAACTCTGTGAAGCATTTATTTGGGCTGCAATTTCTGAGGCTGATAACTCTAATTAATGTATCCTCTGCAACAGAGGTAACTCTGAGTCTTCCATTCCTATGGTGGTCCTCATGAGAGCCAGTTTCATCATAGCGCTTGATGGTTTTTGCGAAAGCACTTGAAGAAAGTTCTTAACATTTTCCATATTGCCTAACCTTCATATCTTAAAGTAATGATGGACTGTCGTTTCTCTTTGCTTATTTGAGCTGTTCTTGCCATAATATGGACTTGGTCTTTTACCAAATAGGGCTCCCCCCCCCCACACACTTTTTTGGTAACTACATGATTCCATGTGTGTTATTTTATAGTTTTGATGTCTTCACTATTATTCTAAAATGTAAAAAATAGTAAAAATTAAGAAAAACCCTTGAATGAGTAGGTGTGTCCAAACTTTTGACTGGTAGTGTATATAGGCCTGGTAGTGTATATAGGTATATAGGCCTACTACTATCCTGGATAATTATGCACTTGAGTGGAGGAGTGAGTAGCCAATGTGTGGAGAGCATTTGTTGTTGTTTTTGACACAATATGGCCACCATGCATCACCCCGGTGGGTGCTACACATTGCGTAGTAGTAGTGGATGTCACACTTAACAATGTGAAGCACTTTGAGACATTGAGTGAGAAGAGCTGTTATGAATACCCGTCATACTGTAATAGAGGGATCTCTCACCTTGGAAGAGGTACTCCTCGGTGTTCATGTCAGGATTGTCGGTGATGATGTCGAACGGGGACCTCCCGGCCATCATCTCAAACATGAGCACGCCTAACGCCCACCAGTCAACACTGAACCCTGGAGAGAGACACACAGACAATATCGGCCATCTTGGTTAGATTCAGCAATAGTTTGGTAATGACAGCAATAGTTTGGTAATGAAAGCAATAGTTTGGTAATGACAACAATAGTTTGGTAATGACAGCAATAGTTTGCTAATGACAGCAATAGTTTGCTAATGACAGCAATAGTTTGCTAATGACAGCAATAGTATGGTAATGACAGCAATAGTTTGGTAATGACAGCAATAGTATGGTAATGACAGCAATAGTTTGGTAATGACGGAGTTCTGTTCATTATTTTTTTTTCACATATTTTTTTATTTATTGAAGTGGTTGTTTTTTACAATAACTCCTAAATAGTTCTCCCCATTCCCTCCATGTATGTGTTTGTTGATGGGAGGGACTCACCGTAGTCTTCCCCTCTGAGGATCTCGGGGGCTATGTAGTTGGGGGTTCCACAGAATGTACTGGTGGTGTCTCCTGGTCTGATGCCCTCCTGATAGAGAGAGAGGGGGAAGGAGGTTGAAGGAGAGAGAAAGGAAAGGGGAGAGAGAAGGGGGTGAAGGGAAGGGGAAAGAGAGAGAGGGGGGGAAGATGTGGGGGAGAGAGGGGGGGAAGAGTGGGGGAGAGAGTAGGGGGAAGGACAAGAGAACAGAGAAAGAAAGAGAGCGAGAGAAAGACAAGTGAAAGAGAGGAGAAAGAGCGTGAGACTTTCGATGCCTAGTGTATTAATCCACTTCTACATAATGAATGAGAAGTAAAGTAAGCAGCATAGTAGCAGTACTATAACAGTATACAGTAGGTCTGTGCATGGGTCTCACCTTGCACATCCCGTAGTCTGTCAGCTTGATGTGTCCCTCGTGATCCAAGAGAACGTTGTCCAGTTTCAAATCTCGGTAGAGGATTCCCTTTTCATGCAGGAAATTCAGAGCGATACAAATTTCAGCAGCATAGAATCTGAAAGAAAATAAGATTAATTCAGACATGCTTATCCTCGAGAGTATCCAGAGAGTTCCCAGCCCCCAGACTTCGTGACACAGTTTGTCCAACTTACATTTCCATTCTGAACTTCGCACAACGTAGAAAACATCCTGAAGCCAACATACAGTATATGGTATTATGTATATTATATGGGAAGGAGTTTCAGGAAGGAGTTTCAGGAAGGAGTTTTTAATGAATAGGTGATTTCTGTTCAATATTTACATTCTCCGCCTCACAATTGGCATAGCGAGACATGGTGGGCTAAATGCTTGTGATTTCTCTATCTCTGGTGTGCTTTCCTGAAAAACACAATAATGCCTATCATATTAGGACGCTAATAGGGCCTATTCATCCTCAGAATAAATGGATACGTTTATAGGGTAGAGGAAATGGCAGAGAGCCATGTTTGAGGGTTGATTGAGGGTTCTATCCGTATGCTGTTGAAGTATCAGAGGAGCAGGAGGATGTTGTTTGTTTACCTTGCGTGTTCTTCTGGTAGTTTCCGTTGCCGTTGCATATGAAACATCAGATCCCCTCCGTTGACGTACTCGATCACGAGAAATAACCTACAATCAGAAGAAAAGGGAGAGGAGAAGACATTCGTAAACAATCAGTCTTGGAGAGTGTTTGGAGTTTGAATGCAGCCTGAGTGGCCCTCTTACCAAGATTGCCATTTTCCAAAACAATAGCTATTATTATCATTGGCCAACTGAAGGCTGCATGTCAAATGTAATGCCCATTATCTGGCTAAATACGATTTTAAAGTTCTTCGTTAAAAAAACATTGTTTTACCTTGGTGAACTTTTGTGACAAAAGACTGCCTCTAAAAATGTATGTTTGGTTTCACTTTAAGTCATGGTTCACAGTTCATAGTCTTACGGTAAAGGCTCTCATAGCCTACCTCTAATTGACTACAACTGTACATTTCTTTCCTTACAATGAGAAGTCTGTCATTGAATGTGTCACTTTTCACAGAAGCCACAGCTCCGTAGTTTCTTACTTCACATAATGAACAGAGGTCTAACGATGAGCGATTCAGTTGCCTAGTTCCAAGGCCAGTGGAACGATTGCAGAGAAATTGATTCATTTCACCTTTATTTAGCCTGGGTATTAGTCATTCAGAATACATTCTCTATGTAAAAGCAACATGTTGCAACTGAGTGTCTCTGAGAGTGTCTGTCTGCCTCTTACCGGCTCTCTGTCTGAAAGCAGGAGTGAAGGCCCACTAAGAACGGATTGGTAGACGCCTGCTCAAACACATGTTTCTCTGTCTGCACCCAGTCAATGTCCTGTAAGGGAAACAGGGAGGGAGAAAGAGAGATGGAAAGAGAGAGAGAGAGAGAGATATGGAGAGAGATGGAAAGACAACACATTAGCAACCATTTTGTCTTATCCATAATCATCCTAGACGAGCTGCAGACAAACAAACAGACCGAGATGCATGATGCCATGTATGACAGTCTTTGTAAATATACTGTATACAGTATTAGCATCCTTTCATAGCTCTGCCTTTTATGCATATGTGCTGTAGTGGAACATCACAACACAAAGCAGCCATTTTCTTTCTCATTGCATGGTACAATACAAGAAGGTTCTCTTATCTAAGCCACTTTATTCAACCCAATGGATTTCTACTCTATTGGTATTAACCCTTTAGATTAGACTACCTTTAATAAACAAGGAAAGACTGAGTAAATTGACTAGTAAATTGATCCAAGTTAGATCACAACATAGGTAGGAGTCACCCTACTGACGACCTAAACTGTCTTCTTTCCGATAAAAATAGGCATAACACTTAAGTAATGGAACATAGACATACAGTCAGGTAGATAAGTATTGGAATCCTTGATAAAGATGAGCAAAAAAGACTGTATAAAATAAATAATACAAATACTGAGCTATATTGTATGCTCCAAAAATGTGGGAAATTATATTATTTTATAATAATACTAATAATTATTTAAAAAATGGGGGTCAAGATTATTGGCAACCCTGTTTCCAATACTCTAGCACCCTCCCCTTGCGAGGATAACGACAGTGAGCATTTTTCTAAAATGTTTTATGAGAACACGTTGGGAGGAGTCTTACACCATTCCTCCATACAGAATCTTTCCAGATCCTTAATATCCTTTGTCTGCTCCTATAGACTGCCCTCTTCAATTCAAACACAGGTTTTCAATGGGGTTCAAGTCCGAAGACTGAGATGACCATTGCAAAATGTTGATTTTGTGGTCAATTAACCATTTCTTTGTGGATTTTGATTTGTGCTTGGGGTTATTGTCTTGCTAGAAGATCCACTTGTGGCCAAGTGTCAGCCTCCTAGCAGAGAAAATTAATTATAGACCTGACTGTACACAGAAAATATGGGATAAATAAGTATCCCAAAGACACACAAATTAAGAAATATACATGTTTCCGTGTGTACATAGTACATCATTAATTTGTAGTTATTACTAAATAGTACTACTGGACTATGATCTAATGCAGAGGGAAAACCAAGGGGCACAATCACAAATAGGAGCACTAGTTAGAGAAAGAGGCACCTTATGTTTTCTCTTCCTCTGACAAATGAAGGAGTAAAAATAAGCAAATTACTGAAACACATAAACCTGAAACACTGAAACACTGCATTTAAAAGAAACAATTTCCAATCCCATAACGACCACCTAGATGTAACATGTAAAATGAGGAGCTCCACTCTAAGCTTCACAAACAACTCAGTAACCTGTTGTAGTGTAGACTAAGTCAATACCCTATGCACAATAAATATTTCTCTCACACAAACACACACATCTTTACAAAAAGCTTTAGAAATCAGAGCACTTTCATTTCCGAGCCCAAGCCAGAGTTGACAGACAATGAGCAGATTGCGAGGAATCACGGAGGAAGACAAACATCTCTTGCTTTTTCCAGGCCGTGAACTTATACTCCTTCTGACTAAAGTCTTTGGGTGGGTGGGTCTCTGCACCCTCTATCCATCTCTATGGCTTTATGCCTGTTGTTTACAAACCACCGATCTACTCATAGAAGTAGACAACGGAATAATTCACTAATTTAAAACGGAGATAGCCCTCAGTGGTTCTGGCATTGTCACAGAAGCGATCAATAGCAATCGTTGATCAGAGGTGCGCCCTCTATCCGTCTCTATGGATCAATGGCAACGATAAGAGGTGTGCCCTCTAGGTTATATATCTATGGGAATAGCAACCTGTCTGGCTTTGGCTGGGCGGCCATTTTTCTGCTTATTTCTAAAAGCTGGGCTATAGCTACCCTGGCTGGTAGCCTTGGCTGCCCTGAGAGGGACAGAGACAGGATGCCAAGCTGAGGGGCTGACTAGGCTAAACCGAGGCTAAAATCCCCTTCAGTTCGTCATCAGACCTCAAAGTGACCCCTTTTAGCATGTAAACACACCCCTTTGTCATTCTGTCTCTCATCCCCTGAAATGGACTTCTGGGTATAGTTTTGTTTGGCTAGGCATGGTGTTGTGCTGTAGTATTGCAAGTGGTGAATTAGGAAGAGTGTTGCTGTGGCCAGAGAGCTGATCAGAGTTCAGTTTTGAAGCTTTTAACCTTTGGATAGATAGCTGATCCTAGATCTTGAAGGCAACTTGTGCTTCAGATTAGCATAGTGAATCCTATGATTATCACAACTTTGTACAGTAGCTAAGAAGAATGTATTTATTTAATTAAAGTAATGGACAATTAATAATGGCTGTCCAACTCTCCTCTTCCATTCCGTGTTCTCTCACAATACATATGAATTCAATCTTTATCTTACGCATAACATCACAAATTCCTATTGGTCAATTCGACTTCATTAGTAGTAATAGAGGCATAAGTCTTTAGTAGTCTCTTTCTGCTGTGGTCTTTCTGCTGACACCAGTGATGTCAGGCTTTCCTACATGAATGAATAATTAACCACATACTGTATATGCATGAATGCATTTATACAGTTATAGAATCTATAATATATGGCGTGATCCCCACTAAAAACATTGGGAGAGATCTATAAAGAGAGATCTATCAAGCACTGAATGGCCCGTCCTATGTAAGATAAGACATTAAAGGGGCAATCCGGGATTCAAAAAACAACAAAGCATTTACCCCGCCACTTGTTTTGGTAAACAGCTGATGGAGGGAGTGGGAGAAATGTAACCACTTTAAAAGTCAAAATATAGATGTATAATCCCGGATTGCCCCTTTAACAGTATGTTGAGTGGCAATAGAAGGAATGGTCCTTTCCACGTGGGTCATTTGTGGCAATGTTGTTGTGTCCATCTCTTAGTTGTCCATTGAAATGTGAAGGGCTCGGAGCTCAAATAGCTAATTACAAATGATTACATTACTATCATCAGAGGACAATCAATCCAAAATCTATATTCTGTCATTCATCTGGTATGTGCTAGGTGTAATAGTAATACCATAGCTCCACCTAGTGGTGGAAACTATAACATCTCTCAATTACTCTCTTCTCTACCCTTCTTTCTCTCTTCCTCACCCTCCTTTTTTATCTTCCCTCTCTACTCCTTACTTATCCCCCCCCCCCTCATTTCGTCTCCCCCTCTCTATCCTTTCATACCGCACCATTTCAGGCACCATTTCCTCCTTACTTTTTTCTTTCCTTTTCCGCCCCCTGAGATCCTCTTGTCTTCCTATTTCACCCTGCACTTCCATTGACTCATCCCACCTCATTCAAAAAATCTGGATACTTTTTATTCTATAACCATTTGAAAGGGGGAGGTGCCTCTTGCACGTGCTCTTTTAGTTTGCCTTTCAAACTGTCATCATATTGTTTTGTATTTTCTTGTGTGCAAATAAAAACATTTTTTAAAGTACTTTTTTCCCCTCAATGCTCTACAGATCCTCCTCTTTTCATCTCTCCTCCTCGCTTTTCCTCCTCTCCCCGTTTCTCTCTCCCCTCCCCCCCTCTTTCCCTCCCCCTCTTTTCCTCCATCCCCCTCTCCTCCTTCCTTCTCTCTCACCCTCTCCTCGTCCTCCCTCTCACCTCTTCGTCGTGAACCAGTTCCTTCTTGACCACCTTCATGGCGTATATCTGTTCGTTCTTCTTGAGTCGCACCAGCAGCACCTTGGCGTAGCTGCCACGGCCGATCACCCGGATCAGGTCGAAGTCCCCCAAGCCCAGCGCCAGCCCCTGGGAGATCTTGATACCGTCGATCCCATCCACCACTGCTTTGATATCCTGTAATGGAGGTTTGGATGGCAGAGAAACATTATGAAAGAGACATACAGTGAGCTCAAAAGTATTGGGCCAGTGACAGTTTTGTTGTTGTTTTGGCTCTGTACTCCAGCACTTTGGATTTGAGAACACGCTGGGAGGAGTCTTACACCATTCCTCCATACAGAATCTTTCCAGATCCTTGATATCCTTCGTCTGCTCCTATGGACTGCCCTCTTCAATTCAAACCACTGGTTTTCAATGGGATTCAAGTCCGAAGACTGAGATGACCATTGATTACGGATAATCCTGAATAATCTTGAATAATAGACGTATAAATATCATAATGAATGCTTGGGGGTATGATATTTGTGAGTTTGCAATTTTCTCACTCATCATTATTCAAGATTCATTCAGGACTATCCGTAATCATGGTAGCATCCACATTAATGTAGCAGTTTTTTAGAAACATTATATTCTTATTTACAATAAAAGTGACTCCAAAATGAAACAATACATTATTTACCATTCATTTCTATTGGGCACAAAATAATCTGAAACACTACCAAAACAAACAGCAAATGCATCCAACAAGTTTGTAGAGTTATCATTCCGTGCTAGGAATATGGGACCAAATACTTAACTTTTTACTACTTTAATAAACATAAGTGGATTTGTCCCGATACTTTTGGTCCCCTAAAATGGGGGGACTATGTACAAAAAGTGCTGTAATTTCTAAACTGTTTCATATGGATGGAAATACCCTCAAATTAAAGCTGACAGTCTGCACTTTAACTTCATAGTCATTGTCTAATTTCAAATCCAAAGTGCTGGAGTACAGAGCCAAAACAACAAAAATGTGTCACTGTCCCAATACTTGTGGCGCTCACTGTAGATACCAGCACACTGTTGAATGCTCCTGCAGTTTATTTAGTGTAGCGTTTCGACCCAAAGGTTTTCGTCAGGCTTGAGGAAAGCGTTATGGTCATAGATGGAGATAGATAGAGCTAGTGTCATGCACATGTTGATACGATAAGCATATTTATTATAAGAATGCATTATTTACTGTGTCTGAATAAACTCACCTCTGAGTCCTCTTCGACTTTGTCCATCTTGCAATTGTGTGGTAGGAAAGGGACTGAAGAGAAGAGAGAAATAACTTGTTACCTTAGCTGTAATGCAGTCCTACCTAGTGAGGACTGAGGATTAAAAACCTTAGAGATCTCTATAGTCTACAGTCATTTCCATTAAATAGGGTGTTCCACAAGAATCCATGGCTCTATCTCGAATCGTCTTTCCACGACTCCTTCCATCCTATCTCCTCGCCTTGTCAACCGTATTGGAGAAGAAGGTCCAATATCATTTTGAGAAGTACCTCATCCAAGGGACCTCTCACCTTCTCATCCAATGGGTTTTGAGAATGAGGCAAAGAGAAAGGACGCGAGGAATCAAGGAAATGCAATTGAGATTCTCCTATTGACTCTTTCTCAATTAATCTTTCCTTGATTCCTTGCATCATCTCAAGGGAGCATTGTGGGACGTGTAGTTCACCCCCTGTTCAGAGTTCAGAGTTGCAGCTCTTTCCTGTCTCTGCCCAAATATTATTATTATTGTACCAGTGGAGGCTCCTCAGAGGAGGAAGGGAGGACCATCCTCCTCGTTGAATTTCATAAAAATAAAAATAGTAAAACAACTATCCTAAATATAATCACATGTCACCAAATAATTGATTAAAACACACTATTTTGTAATGAAGGTCTACAGTAGCCTCAACAGCACTCTGTAGGGTAGCGCCATGGTGTAGCCAGAGGACAGCTAGCTTCCGTCCTCCTCTGGGTACATTGACTTCAATACAAAACCTAGGAAGGTTATGGTTCTCACCCCCTTCCATAGACTTACACAGTAATTATGACAACTTCCGGAGGACGTCCTCCAACCTATCAGAGCTCTTGCAGTATGAACTGACATGTTGTCCACCCAACCAAAGGATCAGAGAATATATCTAGTACTGAAAGCATAAGCTACAGCTAGCTAGCACTGCAGTGCATAAAATATGGTGAGTAGTTGACTCAAAGAGAGAGAAAGACAATAGTTGAACAGTTTTGAACAAATACATTTCTTCCAAAATGAAGGAGAAGCAAGAGAGAGAGAGAGATTGTATTTTTTTTTTCACTTTCTTAGCTAGCAAATGCTTAGCTAGTTTAGCTTACTCAAAACACCCTGCTCAAACAGAGGGATGCTATGTTAGCTAGCTGGATATGACTATCCAACACAATACCGGAACTCTTCCAAGTCAAGGTAAGCTTTTGGTTTGACTAATTTATTGCCACTGGGGCCCGCCACTGTAACTTTACTGCATGACTGTAGCGGGTTTACTAACGCATTAGTTCTATTTGCTATGTTAACTATGACGTTACTTTAGCTAATATGGTGACAATGATAGGCTATGTGTAGCAGTTATGATATGGTTTGGCTTGGAAAGGTTTTTTCCGCCTGGTCACATACAGCTGATGTGTTGTGCATTGAAGTCCACAAGCAAAGGGACAAGGTGAGAGGAGAGCGCATAGATGCGAGAACGAATACAACGTGGCTACTATGAAAGTATACTGTGTTTACGCTTGATCAGGGGTGTATTCATTCCGCCAATTCTGTTGAAAAAAATTTTCTTAAACAGAAGCAAACGGAACAAAGCGGGATGAACAAACCTGGATTTGTCCAATAGAAACTCTTGTTTGCAACTGTTGGACTAATGATTACACCCTATATCAGCTAGATGCAGGCAAGAGTGTGCAAGGCGGTATATAATGTGTCACTGTCTATCCATGTGTCACTGTCTGTCACCTCAAGATGTTCTCTCTACCTGTGTGCACCTACATTGTAAACTTTCATTCATAGGCTAGGTCGTAGCAACCTCATGATGGGTATAGGGAACATTTGAGCATCATGTAGTAGCCTAAACCTATCGCTGTTACATTGAACTGGGTGAATGGAATATGAATGACAGTCATCCAATATGCTGTAATAGAATTAAGGCCTGCTCATGAAAAAACGAATATGTGCTTAAATGGCACTGACCGCCACTGTGTTGTACTATACTGTACTGGACTATATTGTACTTTACAACCTACTGTCTAGTCTGCTGCTGGATGAGAGGGATTATTATTATGAGTGAACACCTACTGGGTGTTCAACTTTCACACTAACCCTCATAGAGAACCACTGCACACAAACAAGTGAAGGCCCTGTGCACAGCAGTGCATCTTGTTCAAGGTGCTGCTTCTGGCAGAAACAACTGGGTGTAAAAATCGCACACTTTAAAAATTGCGCTGTGCAGAATAGCACATACAAACAGAACTTTCTGTCCAGTCTATAAACAACAATGGCATACTGATTCAAACATGCTCTCTCGCTGTGTGGGAGAAAGTTCCAATCTGGTTATTGGTTTTCATTGAATAGTGCCTTTAAAGCATTTGAAGTATTCAGTGTCTCATGGTAGGAGTGCTGATCTAGGTTCAGTTTTGCCCTTTCATAATGAATAAGAAAGATCAGCACTCCTACTCTGAGAAGCTTTTTGGCATACAGGCCCAGACCTAGACCCAATGCATCAAGACCATGAGACCAAGGCTGCATTTATGTGGTCTTGAGTTGTCTCAAGACTAAGACCACAAGATATCTTACTTGTCTACTTCACATTTTAAAGGTTTAGTAAGTAAGAATTTTGTTCACAAATGTACCAAAATGTGTATTATATGTAAATAGTTTATGATTAGTGAATGCCATAATGTAGTTATTTGGTTAGATACTTCTCCCTATTAGCTGAAATCTTATGTTTTCAAAGCCATTTTAGCTGTCGCGCTAGCTGTTCTGTCTGAACCGATTCACAAATCATGGGAATTTGTTGCGTAATCCAGACGTTGACTCCCTCCGAGGCATGTGTTGCTAGGCAACCCCCCTGCACTTGCTGGCGTAGGCCTGCTCCCTCCATGGCTAAAGCCAGTGTGAGAAACATGCTAACAAACGTTTGTGCTATGAAACTAAATAAATACTGCACTCTGACCCACAAAACTGTAAGCAAGGAAAGTGAACTTTAAAACGTGATGTAGTTTTATTGGAATTTGCAGCGGTTGTTGGTAAGAAATGAATCTGCTAGCTTCTGACATGACGTACTGCATCTTTAAGTCTATATTGAAAAAATATATATAATTTGTTTTATAGGAACTTACTTCCATCTGTATCCTCTGTGTCTTCAGGGAGGAGGTCCACCTCTTCACTCTTCTCATCTAAAGGGGGCTCCTGTGATGGCATGACTGGATCCTGCCAAGAGAAGCCACACATGGTTTTGAGGCTGCCAAAGAGTATCAAACAAATCATGACTAGATCCTTGGAAACACTGGGAAGAAGGGTATTTATTTTAAGAGGTGTACCACGTTGATAAACATCTTAGGCACATAGATGTATCTTTTCAACAAAAGACCACAGAAGTTGAGAAGTCTGGATATGTCTCGCAAACAAAGCACTTATAACTAATTTTATGTGGTTCTAACCATGAAGATCACCTCGCTATCTAATCAACAGGGAAATCCCAGGTGCCATTTCAAATAGGATCAAAATGTTTGTGGATAGAGCATCGTCAGATTAAATGAAAGGAAACAGCAGCATAGAGATCTACTAGACTGGACATTGGTTGACTATTGCCCTGGGTTTTCAGCACCGGGTTTGCTTTAGTCTAAATGCCAAATGGGCTGATAGCAAGGACCCCTTTGATTCTGTATGTTAGCCGTCTGTCACTAGAGATCAATCTCATGATGTCTCAGTATACTGTACACTACAGTATGGGTGCATCCCAAATGGCACCCTATTCCCTATATAGTGCACTTCTTTTGAACAGGGCCCAGCTCGGGTCAAAAGTAGTGCATTACATAGGGAATAGGGTGCCATTTTAGATGCAGCCTATATCTAAAGATAGTGGATGTGAAACTCGCCCGTAGCATGTTAGCTGGAGTATATTGAGAACTTAAGCAAACTGTTTCTCATGAAAGGACAGACCAGTCTTGCTCTGTTGACAAAGGTGGTTGGCTTTGAGTTATATATGTGTCGTGCAAAAGGGTTAATTGCTAGTTTGATTCACGCTCGGGCAGAACAGAATTCACTCTGTTACAAATATACACCAGTACTTCAAATAGTAATGTTTAATTTAGATTTGTGCATAATTCCCCATTTTATTATTGAATGTATTGACTATCTATCTTGTTATTTTACTAGAAAGTTGAATAATTCAAATGCAAAACTTAGTTTCACCCTAAAGCAGTTCACCCCATTCATTCAGACATTCACTGAAGTTTGTGAAGTGTCTATGTAGTGCTTATGAAGACTGTGAATGCTCTATAAATCCCTTATAAGCACACCATTATGCCGTTTGCACTGCCGTTTGTAAAGTGTCTATGTAGTGCTTATGAAGGCTTCATGAATAATATGTAATTCCATGCTTTAACATGACGGATTGGGCAGAGTACTGATCAATCCGTCATGAGATTCTATATCTATGGTACTCACCATATGCCTTTGGCAGGTCAGAGGGACAAGTGTGTGACAGCGCTTATGGACCAGTAGTTTGCAGTTGATACACTTGTATCCCTGCCTCCCCAGCCCCCATATCCTTTCACTGCAGTGGCCACAGTACGCTTTCTGTTGGGGACAGACAGAGACAATTGGGAGACAGGGATTGTTACACTAACTATCAGTCTGAGGTCATGACAATGGGTTGACACTATCGCAGTCATTGATCAAGAATCAATGGACAACAGGCAAGGCAGACACGTGAAGGAGATAATGATAGATGCAGGGTGGTGGAGTTAGGCCTATACGGCATCTTACATCAACTGGGAGCATGTTTGTCTTCCCTTTAACTAACCGACAAAGCAATCTAATACATTAACACATTTTGTTACCATTGGCTTTACATTTCACAGGTATACAGTGGGGGAAAAAAAGTATTTAGTCAGCCACCAATTGTGCAAGTTCTCCCACTTAAAAAGATGAGAGAGGCCTGTAATTTTCATCATAGGTACACGTCAACTATGACAGACAAACTGAGATTTTTTTTCTCCAGAAATCACATTGTAGGATTTTTTATGAATTTATTTGCAAATTATGGTGGAAAATAAGTATTTGGTCAATAACAAAAGTTTCTCAATACTTTGTTATATACCCTTTGTTGGCAATGACACAGGTCAAACGTTTTCTGTAAGTCTTCACAAGGTTTTCACACACTGTTGCTGGTATTTTGGCCCATTCCTCCATGCAGATCTCCTCTAGAGCAGTGATGTTTTGGGGCTGTCGCTGGGCAACACAGACTTTCAACTCCCTCCAAAGATTTTGGGTTGAGGGTTGAGATCTGGAGACTGGCTAGGCCACTCCAGGACCTTGAAATGCTTCTTACGAAGCCACTCTTTCGTTGCCCGGGCGGTGTGTTTGGGATCATTGTCATGCTGAAAGACCCAGCCACGTTTCATCTTCAATGCCCTTGCTGATGGAAGGAGGTTTTCACTCAAAATCTCACAATACATGGCCCCATTCATTCTTTCCTTTACACGGATCAGTCATCCTGGTCCCTTTGCAGAAAAACAGCCCCAAAGAATGATGTTTCCACCCCCATGCTTCACAGTAGGTATGGTGTTCTTTGGATGCAACTCAGCATTCTTTGTCCTCCAAACACGACGAGTTGAGTTTTTACCAAAAAGTTCTATTTTGGTTTCATCTGACCATATGACATTCTCCCAATCCTCTTCTGGATCATCCAAATGCACTCTAGCAAACTTCAGACGGGCCTGGACATGTACTGGCTTAAGCAGGGGAACACGTCTGGCACTGCAGGATTTGAGTCCCTGGCGGCGTAGTGTGTTACTGATGGTAGGCTTTGTTACTTTGGTCCCAGCTCTCTGCAGGTCATTCACTAGGTCCCCCCGTGTGGTTCTGGGATTTTTGCTCACCGTTCTTGTGATCATTTTGACCCCACGGGGTGAGATCTTGCGTGGAGCCCCAGATCGAGGGAGATTATCAGTGGTCTTGTATGTCTTCCATTTCCTAATAATTGCTCCCACAGTTGATTTCTTCAAACCAAGCTGCTTACCTATTGCAGATTCAGTCTTCCCAGCCTGGTGCAGGTCTACAATTTTGTTTCTGGTGTCCTTTGACAGCTCTTTGGTCTTGGCCACAGTGGAGTTTGGAGTGTGACTGTTTGAGGTTGTGGACAGGTGTCTTTTATACTGATAACAAGTTCAAACAGGTGCCATTAATACAGGTAACGAGTGGAGGACAGAGGAGCCTCTTAAAGAAGAAGTTACAGGTCTGTGAGAGCCAGAAATCTTGCTTGTTTGTAGGTGACCAAATACTTATTTTCCACCATAATTTGCAAATAAATTCATAAAAAATCCTACAATGTGATTTTCTGGAGAAAAAAAATCTCAATTTGTCTGTCATAGTTGACGTGTACCTATGATGAAAATTACAGGCCTCTCTCATCTTTTTAAGTGGGAGAACTTGCACAATTGGTGGCTGACTAAATACTTTTTTTCCCCACTGTATATGCCATTTAACAGCCGCTTTTAGTTAGTGTAACTCAGACTGATAGTTAGTGTAACAATCCCTGTCTCCCAATTTTATCCAAAGCGACTTAGTGTGTGCATACATTTTCTTATGGGTGCCCCAGTGGGAATCGAACCCACACTGTTTTGTCTGGCCCAGAGGCTATTAAGCTTATAACATCTGTCATCCAGTTCACATCAGAACCTGGACACTTGCCTGTGGTAGACGTTATGTCTACCACAGGCATATTGACAAACACATTGGGAGCCAGTTGTTTACTAACAGTCTGAGAAGAGCGGCACCACAGTGCAATGAGTTCTGAAGTTAAAAGCGTCGTTGCCATGGAAACGCAATGCAGAGGAACTTCAAAGCTTAGCTACCCGTACCCCACCACTCCCCAGCCCAAACTGACTCAATAGAGAGACAGAAAGAGAGAGAGAGAGAGATTGAGGCAGAGACAGCGTTTGAGCGGGAGAAAGAGAGTGGCAGAGGTTTGGGCGAATCATAAATAAATCAAGACAAAATCAGTTTTCCCTCTCCGCTCAGCGCAGACAAGGGAGTAATTAAGGCGCTTGTTGTGAGGTGAGAAACTTTGAAAACAGATTTTCCACGCTCCCCGTCAAGACTTTGGGGAGCGCATTTCAATAGCAGAGGATACACGTGGGGCCATAACATATTCCCTTTGTCCTTTAAAAGAGCCACAAGATGTTCAGAGTCTTCTTTTACTCACTAGCTGTGTTCGATGTTCCAAAGACACTAACAAAAGGTAGATTAGGAAGGAGGAAATACTGAGGGACTAAAAACGTAAGATGTTAGGCCTACAAAACAAACATATTTGGTCTTCTTGACTAGAAACGTGCTTAATTTGGACAGTTGTGATTTACCACAATTTAGGAGTCACTTAATGCAGTCTTTTTAATTTACAATTTTAAATCATCTCTTTATGTCTAATAAATCACTGTGTGTTTATTTTTTATAAATTATTTCCCTGAGCCTCCTTGGGTCACTGAAATGCTCAGTCAGACTGTACTGGTGTGGGGATACAAATTTCAAACATTTACATATAGCCCTGATTGGCTGATAATAATAATCTAGAGCCCACCCCCTTACCACTTCAACAACAACAAAGGCACATGGTATTCAACCTGTCAGCTGGAGCTGGACCCTGAAAGCTACGAACTTCCACAAGTGAGTAGGCTACTTTATTTTGTCATCAAAACAAAAGGCATGCATAATGCATGCTTAATTTTCTATATCATTGTTATTATGTTTTCAATAGGTCAACAGAAGATGCAGGACCAGAACAGCCTGTTTGCATGGTGGACCATCCTGGCCTATACCCTGTCTGCCGTCTATTCATTGCAGAATGCCATGATTATCTACAGGGCAGACTATATGGTATAATCTTTAGGATCATCTCAAAGTTTATTTCATCATTTTACAAAATAGACTTTGATGATACTGGATATTATAACTTATTTAAAAATGTCTAATGAGAAGACACTCTTGAATGACACATTTTGAATGTTTTCTGCTGTTGAAAGTGAATAAAGAAACCAGACTGCAATGAAAGGTTGTCTTTCTTCATAAATTATTTTGTCAGTTATTACATAACATAATAAACAGATCGTAAACAAGGTTCTGATGAAAGTCTAAATCACGGCATGTAAGTGTCTTTTCAAGTTATTGTTTTGCATGTGCTCAAGCTCTGGAAGGTGTTCCTGTGAGAGGAAAACAGATCATGGTGAAAGTAAGAGGGTGTTTACTAAACATAATCAGATAGCAGGTATAGAGCAGCAACAAAGTAGTCATTGATGGTATGAATTACAAAAAAGGAGTGGTTTTATTGACATTGTCATCACCAGCTTTCTCGAACACTGACATTACTATACACAACTATAATCTCATCCGTGACAGGAAAGGTGGAAGACAGTATTGCACACACCCAATTACACTTAGCTTCCCAACAATAACTTGTTTGGCGGAATCTGTTGTGATATGTGATGGTTGGGGTGAAAATCTACTGGGGAATAGATCTCCAGGAGAATGGTTAGTGACCACTGCCCCTACACACACTACAAATGTGTCTTCAAATAGTCATACCGTCAATCACAGATAGAATCATAGCCCCTACCCATTGACAATTCGGTTATAAGGTCTAAAATAACTAATATATATAACTTTTGTGCCCATAGCAGAACAATCTTGGGTCTATATTTTACTAATGCTCAGTACATGTGGTCCTCTGTAGCTCAGCTGGTAGAGCACGGCGCTTGTAACGCCAAGGTAGTGGGTTCGATCCCCGGGACCACCCCTACACAAAAATGTATGCACGCATGACTGTAAGTCGCTTTGGATAAAAGCGTCTGCTAAATGGCATATTATTATTTATTATTATTATGTAGTGGCTAAACCATGCCCTTTGACAGACTTTGTAGAATTTGTCAATGGACAGGGGCTACTCGTCTATCTGTGATTGGCTGTATTACCAATAGAAGAAATTGGTATTCATTACAGGTATCTGGCCTATAAGAGCTTTGTCAGTTGGGGCTGGGACTATCTGGGCCATAGGAACAGAGTGGTGCTACAGCCTGCGTAGTCCTTTGCATCCACCAGGAGTTCCAAGATGCCAAGGGAACACATCCTGGATGGGTTTGGGAGCTTGTCTGCAGAAAGAAATGAACAGACAAACAAAATATGAGCTGCAATACATCTGAACTACTTTCATATCCATACCATAATTTGCTAGATTAAAACGGAATATTCACTGCCCTCTTACACTTTACCCTATGATAATAGAATGTGGTGACATAAAAATAGTTATTGGTAAGTGGTAACCCAATCAGCAGCCAACATTAACTTTTTTATTTGGGGCTATGACAGTCTGTTATAAAAATCAGTCTGACAGTACTTTGACAGTATTTCATTCTGAAGGAAGTATGGTTTGAAGTGACTGAAATGATTCAGAAAGGTATTGGGAAGTGATAAGAAGATCACCAGGCAATAATTGTGTATGATCTTCTGTGTAGAAAATAACAATTGCTTTCGATAATAATAATATGCCATTTAGCAGACGCTTTTATCCAAAGCGACTTACAGTCATGCGTGCATACATTTGGGTGGTCCCGGGGATCGAACCCACTACCTTGGCGTTACAAGCGCCGTGCTCTACCAGCTGAGCTACAGAGGACCACAAAGTGTAGTGGTGCTTTTCCCCCCAGTCTGATTATGCCTGGTCCTGTCTGCTCTAATGAGCCCTGAACAGCTTGTGAGCAGCTCGTGTTCCTGAGAATCTTAGCTTTCAGGAATGGGGTCATAATACAGTAGCTCCAACCGTTCAAAAGTTAGAGCCACATTTACAGGAGAAAAACAGAAAGCACTCTGTTTATCACAACCGCATTCTATGAACTGTTCTATGAACTTAGAGGCACATTTTTATTTTATTCAGAGCTTGTCTCGTGAACCCATTTTCAAATCAGGCGAACCCTTTGGGGAACGTAGCGGGGAAGTCAGGTTGCCTCACTCAATGTAAACTGTAAAACGTCCAGCCTACACTTTCCGTGGGGATCCAGTTAGCAAAGTAGCTAGGTAGCTTCGACCCCAATATATTGATGTGACATACATTTACTTAGGTACCTATACATAATAAAGCAATGTCAGAATTGCAGAAAGCTCAATGTCACGTCAGAATCCTAGCTAATTGCCATCAAAGTTAGATAACTAGCTACCTACAAGCTAACTTTAGCTAGCTGAATCACAGACATAGGAGAAAAGTGTAGCTGGCTATGCGAGAACGTTGTTTACATTGTGGGAGGCAATGTCTGCCTACTAGGCCCTAGGGCAGCGTTTCCCCTTTACAATTCTGACATTACGTTTTATGTAGCTAGCTACAGGTACATATGTAAATATAAATGTCAGGTCAGTAACTAGCAGCAGCGCCACAATATTATGTCCTTTACTTTTAATAATAATAGTTAGCTAGAATAATAACTAGAGACTTACTTCTTGAAAGGTTACTGCTGGTTGCCGCCTGCCACGGCCGGATGCAAGATGTATGGGACAGAACCTTCATGGAGATTGTGGGGATCTAGATGTGATGACTAGCTTAGAAAGAATGCATTAATGATTAAACATAAAAGGTTTGTACTGTACTGATATAAATTGTTTCACATAACAAGCTGTGATTCATGTGAGGAATGTTAGGGAGTAGGGTGAGACAGACTTGTATTTCTCACAGACACATACACACTGCCTCTTTGTTAAACCATCATACTCAAGGACATGTGTACTGCAAAAAGGTGCTGACTCTACAGGGTGTGATGATAACAACTTATGCCTGGCAACAGTGTGCAACGGTAAAGCGCCAAGGAGCTGGGACCAGCCTGTTCGCCAACGATTGGCTGAGTAAGTCTAAACCACGCTCAGTCTCTACTCTGATTGGCCAGCAGGGAGCGGGAACTATCTCTGTCAGAGTATTTGAAGAAGAACTCAGAACAATGGATCAGTTCTCTGAGTGCCCTGCGTGGTATTCCAGTGGACCCGTATATACGAACATCATATTTACCATTGAAGTGTTTTACATTAATTAAAATACTAGTCTATTTTAGAAGACGTGTATTGACCTCTTTTGTTCCTAATACCAGATTTGAATTGACGCAACTTAACAAGATTGAAAGCTGCAAATCCACTGGCTAGTGTAATTGTAGCTAGCTACCTTGTGGAAGTGTGCAGTGCATATGCCAAATCAGACGAAGTGATTGTTCTGATGGAAGACAGTGCAAATAAACAATTACATTTATATTTACATCATTTAGCAGACGCTCTTATCCAGAGCGACTTACAAATTGGTGCATTCAACTCAATTACTGCTTTGCAGCGATCTACTGCTCAATCTCTTGTTTTTGGCCGTGCATAACTACCTACATACCTATCCTGTTTATGTCAACATGAGGAGTACCAATTTGACCGGGCGGGACCAGCAGCAGTAGGAGGAGATATGCAGGCCGCCGGGTGTCGTAATGCGGCAGGCCAAAAAACACCAACCCACCTGAACAGACTGAAATTCCAGGATTTATTTTTCAAACAGCTCTTACACAAAACAGGCATTATCATCATTTTCACCATTTTAGAGTGTTATTTCGACCTCAAAGTGTGCAAATACACATTTTGAACTGCACTGGGACTTTAAAGCACTTACTGTTAGGTAAGGAGGGAATCAGTGAGTGAATCAGTTCCTAAAAGCCTGGAGTTTAAATCATCCTCTCCACACAGTTCAGGACTTGGCCTTCTCTCAGCCAGCATGCTGAAACATATACCCCAAGTGGTCACTACTACTACTACTCTCGTCTGTTCTTCCCTGATGGGACAGTAAATTATCCCAGCAAGTATCTAGGGGGGGGGGTGGATAGGGTGCCATTTGGGATGCACCTCCTGTATGAGCCAGCTCACTGTCAGCTCCAAAATGGTTAATACCTTTCTTCCCACTGGCTGGCCTTTGCTGGGCCATAATGCTGCTAAGCGCTAGGAGAGCACTAGGGAAGCAATGTGGAACGAGCCCTATTTAAAGTGCATTAGCTCGGCATGCGGTTGGCCCTGAGTCATAGTGGTGAAATCAACCTCACAGAGACAAATTCCCCACTGCTCTGTTAGATAACAGACATTATATAGCCATCCCAGTCTGGGATATTTACATGGGATATTCAGTTGTGTTTTGCTCATGTTCACACATAAAAGGTTGCTAACAATGAAACAAAAATCTACTTTGTGCTATTGACCGCAACAAGTGGACACCCCTTCTGTAAGTCAGCTGCGTTCTATATCCGCAGCGTGCTAAAGAAGCTACAAACTAGACAGTAGCTCCAGTCAGTCATCTCCCTAATGGAGCGCTAGCTCATAGCTGAGAACTCTAATGGCAGGAATACAACATTCTGATACATTACCTGCACCACAGCTACTAAAGGCACCCCATTAGGCATTCACAAAGCATATTTCTCCTGTACACAGAGGGAAGAGATGGAGATGGGGGAGGAGGGGGGGGGGGGGGGGGGGGTAAGATGGAAATGGAGAGAGAGAGAGAAGAGAGGGACAGCAAGGGAGAGGGATAAAGAGAGGGATGGGTGGTGTGAGGGATTGAGAGAGGGAGGGAGAGAGAGCAGTTGAGAGAGGGAGGGATGAAGAGAGATGGGAAAAGAATAGGGTGGAGAGGAGAAACCTGACCTACTTCTGCTAGATGACTTGTTTATACTGTATATAGGAGCGGGATGATAGAGGGATGATAGAGTGAAGGAGGGATGATAGAGGGATGATAGAGTGAAGGAGGGATGATAGAGGGATGATAGAGTGAAGGAGGGATGATAGAGGGATGATAGAGTGGAGGGATGGTGAGAGGCATGTAGAGGAGAGACGTTGGAGAAAGACTGCACCAACCAAGACTTACTGTAAAACCATGTGCCGTGGCGACGATCGTGCACATAGTGGCACAGCTATCAACCTTAGACAAGCAATTTGGGTAGCCAACATTTGATGTAGCCACAATAACATGGCTGACAAATTATTGTACATAGAGGAAATACAGGACAGATTATAGAAGTTTATAAAAATAGAACGTCTTCCAAAACTACACCAGTCTAATGTCTAAGCAAATAACCATGGCTCCAACATAACATTCAGTCTCTTCCAGTGCATCAGCGAGGGAGATGGGCTGCCTAATGGAGGTCTATTGGAATGAGGAGCCTACAGTACAGTGCTGAGTTGGCAGATCAGAGCTCTCAGTCTGGTCTAGACGTCCACCAGTAGACAACAGCACCCAAGGGAGACGTTATTACCCCCTTAGCACTGTTATTAACCCCCGTCTATCCTGTATTTTGGTAATATCTTCAAGCACACCAGCCCTGCCCCTGACTCCCGTTTCCTTTTAGATGCAATAGGCACTTAAGGGCCTGCCTGTAACAACATTACCCTCCTAGGGTCGTCTTCAAGCCAGATTGGACACTAACACTGGCAGTGAATTAAAGCATTACAGCTAGATTGCCACAACATGCAGACAGATACACTTTCTGTCTCTAACCTTAAACTAACTGTCCAGTGAAAATCTCTCTTTTAAAAGTTAATATTCGGTTAACTCATACCAAAATAATGTTGTTGACTCATCTTATACTCATATTTGTGGCCAAAGCATAAATTGGAGAAAAAACACAGAGAAAACCCACCTCAAACTTGTATCTCAAGCAGACAGCTTCAGAAATACTTGCTATTTCCTCATAGAGGATGATGGCCAATCAGCGGTCTACTCGCATGAATATTTTTTATGACCGGTATACACCCACACCATTCTGTTGTTGGGGTACGCCCACACTATTCCAACACAGAAAAGCTGCTTTTTAACATACTTAATTACCATTTTCTGGAAGGAAAACTATTTGACTCATATTATAATTATTTATTGGTCATATTTCATAGAAATCTGGAAACACTGGACAGTTACTTTAAGCAAGTGGGGGGATTGACTGGAGGGGTAGTTGGGGGGAAATGTGGGCCAAAACCAAGGCAACCCGTTAAATAGGCCACCATCAGCAGCCATCTTGAATAATGCATATCCAGACAGCTGCAGCTGTGGCAGTGACTTGATTATCAGTCATGTATTATTGAACCACTACATGTTTGTGAATGAATGAACTGTACTAGCTGTACTACTCTGTACAGTAGTAGTAGTAGTAGAGGATTGTTAACACTTTCACGCCTTCTTTCAAAAATACCAACAAGGTCTGTTCTCATCAAATTCTTAAGTGACTGTTTTATTAAATGGATAGTTCACCCAAATTACTAAATCACATTTTAGTTTCCTTGCCCTGAAAGCAGGTTTTGGTCAAGGAGAACAGCAATCCATGCTTTGGTTTTGTTTACCTGGCTGCTGTCACCAAATGCTAACTTTAGCATATTTGTCCAAAAACCAAGTCAATATCACCAATATATATATATTTTTAATCATCTTCAATGGTAGCGTTAAACAGGTTGAGAATCATTACACTATTAACAAACCTACCAATGGCTGTGCAAATTATCTCTAAACTGGAAGTGAAGTGCTAGAGGGGGAACTGCATGTGTCGGGGAGGCAGAATGTGACACTACTACTCACCCTGTTAAAGCGCTTGGCCTGGAAGAGGTGTCCGTTGACTCGGTAGAGCTTCCTCCATCTTCTGGCCCCGCGGCGGTAGATCGATTCTAGGAGAGAGAGGAAACGGTTGTACAGTAGCTGCATGGCAGGGAGCGAGAGAGGGATGGAGAGGTGGAGAGAGGGATGGAGAAGGTAGAGGTGGATGGAGCAGTGCAAAGTCCTCCAAAATCACACAGGGGCGAGTGAGTAGTCATACAAAGAGAGACACGCATGCTCACACACATTCTCTCAGTGCTTCCCTCCCTCCCTCCCTTTCTCTCCATCCTACCTTCCCTCTCTCCCACACAATCTCTCCCCCCGCCGTCCTCGGTTGAACCTCTCACTTTCCTTGGAAAAAGGAAGTACGGAAGGAAGGGACGAAAGAAAGAAGAACAGAAAGAAGAAAGAACTCCCTCCCTCCTCCTCCCTCCCTCCCTCCCTCCTTCCTCCCTCCCTCCCTTCCTTCCTCCCTCTCTCTCCTTCGTCCCTCTGTACCTCCATTTCATTCTGTCCCTCCTCTCTCCCTTGAGGTCCTGGTCTTATTAATTTCTCAGTAATGTCTTGAATCCTGATGGGAATGTAAAGGTGCAGGCTGCTATTTATACCTTCTGAGCTGTCTATTAATACACTGTATAATACTGCATAATAAACAACACTGTATCAACAGACTTAGCACAAGGATTTAGCACTATGTAGCAAACGTCTCAGAGTAGGAGTGCTGATCTATGATCAGTTTAGATGTTTAGATCATAATGAATGAGATTAGACGGACAAAGGGGACCTGACCAGCACTTCTACTCTGACATGCTTTGTGAATATGGACCCAATGTGTTTTATCAAGGATCCTAATGATAGGTGAACTATTTTTATTTCCAAAACGAAATACACCTGCCAGATTATTATCAGTGATATATATACAAAACATAATATAAGACTAAGTGGTATTTGTTCCGCATAATATTATTAATAGATCCAAGTATTGTACTAAAAAGGAAATTCATAGATAGAGTGAATCATGCTCCCTTCTTCAATCTCCTTAAACAAATATCAGGCAAATTAATGAAATAATATGCTTCACAGAAATATGATACATCTTAAAATGTCAATATCAAATGCAAATATTTTTGCTCATTGACAACCATGAGATGATAAGATGATTAAAACGCATATAAATAGATATGATCAAATATTTTATGAAATGCAATGTTCTGTACTGTCGGTACAACTCAACAACAGTTCACTAAACTGCCGAGCTGAGGAGAATAGCTAATTCAGCTATAAATTATGATGATAATGATGTCAGACGTAATGATGATGTCAAATATGATTCACTGTGACACTCATTTCCAGCAACAGGATGTTGTTACATGAAATTGACAGTTTGCATGTGTTGACAGTTTCCCTGAAGTCATATCCCAGCATGAGTTGAATTGGGTATACTAATCTGTTTGGGGGAATCATACTAATACGGGTGTTGAACAAGCACACTCTTTCTTTCTCTTCCTCTCACACACTTCCTCTGGGCTCTCTCCTCCCTCTCACTCACACACGAACAAGCTCTCTCTCTCTCTCTCTCTCTCTCTCTCACACACACAACACGCTTTCTCCCTCCCTCCCTCCCTCCCTCCCTCCCTCCCTCCCACACACACACACACACAAAAAAAGCACACTTTCTCCCTCTCTCCCTCCCTCTCTCTACTCGTCTAGTCTCACCATGCATCCTTACTGGTTCACTGGTCTGGTGGATGGGTGCGGCAGAAAGCATCCTCCGCTCCCTTTGCCTCTGTTGCCATGGCAACCCCAACCTCGCCAGATGCCAGCTGTGGTTAGCGTACCATGTCTACGAATAAAAAGTCAATCTGAGAGCAAATCGCCCCTAAAACAACTCATATGCCTACATAATACTAAATTGTAATTATTTTTGCACTATGGCCTATTTATCGCCTTACCTCCATAACTTACTACATTTGCACACACTGTATATAGATTTTCTATTGTGTTTTTGACTACATTTTTTTTGTTTATCCCATACGTAACTCTGTGTTGTTGTTTTTATTGCACTGCTTTGCTTTATCTTGGCCAGGTCGCAGTTGTAAATGAGAACTTGTTCTCAACTGGCTTACCTGGTTAAATAAAGGTGAAATATTTTTTTTTTTTAAATGACATCATGAGCTGTGGTTGCCCAAACTGTGAGATTTGGATGCCTTATACAGTGGGGAAAAAAAGTATTTAGTCAGCCACCAATTGTGCAAGTTCTCCCACTTAAAAAGATGAGAGAGGCCTGTAATTTTCATCATAGGTACACGTCAACTATGACAGACAAATTGAGAAAAGAAAATCCAGAAAATCACATTGTAGGATTTTTTATGAATTTATTTGCAAATTATGGTGGAAAATAAGTATTTGGTCACCTACAAACAAGCAAGATTTCTGGCTCTCACAGACCTGTAACTTCTTCTTTAAGAGGCTCCTCTGTCCTCCACTCGTTACCTATATTAATGGCACCTGTTTGAACTTGTTATCAGTATAAAAGACACCTGTCCACAACCACACTCCAAACTCCACTATGACAACAGTCACACTCCAAACTCCACTATGGCCAAGACCAAAGAGCTGCCAAAGGACACCAGAAACAAAATTGTAGACCTGCACCAGGCTGGGAAGACTGAATCTGCAATAGGTAAGCAGCTTGGTTTGAAGAAATCAACTGTGGGAGCAATTATTAGGAAATGGAAAACATACAAGACCACTGATAATCTCCCTCGATCTGGGGCTCCACGCAAGATCTCACCCCGTGGGGTCAAAATGATCACAAGAACGGTGAGCAAAAATCCCAGAACCACACGGGGGGACCTAGTGAATGACCTGCAGAGAGCTGGGACCAAAGTAACAAAGCCTACCATCAGTAACACACTACGCCGCCAGGGACTCAAATCCTGCAGTGCCAGACGTGTCCCCCTGCTTAAGCCAGTACATGTCCAGGCCCGTCTGAAGTTTGCTAGAGTGCATTTGGATGATCCAGAAGAGGATTGGGAGAATGTCATATGGTCAGATGAAACCCAAATATAACTTTTTGGTAAAAACTCAACTCGTCGTGTTTGTAGGACAAAGAATGCCGAGTTGCATCCAAAGAACACCATACCTACTGTGAAGCATGGGGGTGGAAACATCATGCTTTGGGGCTGTTTTTCTGCAAAGGGACCAGGACGACTGATCCGTGTAAAGGAAAGAATGAATGGGGCCATGTATCGTGAGATTTTGAGTGAAAACCTCCTTCCATCAGCAAGGGCATTGAAGATGAAACGTGGCTGGGTCTTTCAGCATGACAATGATCCCAAACACACCGCCCGGGCAACGAAGGAGTGGCTTCGTAAGAAGCATTTCAAGGTCCTGGAGTGGCCTAGCCAGTCTCTAGATCTCAACCCCATAGAAAATCTTTGGAGGGAGTTGAAAGTCTGTGTTGCCCAGCGACAGCCCCAAAACATCACTACTCTAGAGGAGATCTGCATGGAGGAATGGACCAAAATACCAGCAACAGTGTGTGAAAACCTTGTGAAGACTTACAGAAAACGTTTGACCTGTGTCATTGCCAACAAAGGGTATATAACAAAGTATTGAGAAACTTTTTTGTTATTGACCAAATACTTATTTTCCACCATAATTTGCAAATAAATTCATAAAAAATCATTTTTTTAAATGTATTTTCTCATTTTGTCTGTCATAGTTGACGTGTACCTATGATGAAAATTACAGGCCTCTCTCATCTTTTTAAGTGGGAGAACTTGCACAATTGGTGGCTGACTAAATACTTTTTTCCCCCACTGTATCTGGTTTATCTCCAGTTGGATGCAACCATTCAGTCAACCAGTCAGTTAGTCAGTGCAACCAGTTGGTCATTCAGTCAGTCAGCAAGCCAGTCAGTGGCTGTTTGAAGTGTCATGTATTATTATTATTATTATTATTATTATTATTATTATTATGTACTTTGCCTTCCCTTGGTATCATTAATGGGAAACCGACACCATTTAAGCCTACATTTCTGTTTATGTATCTCTCTTTGTGTGTGTGGAAATGAGTGTCTCTCTCCCCATATGTTTATTATTGTCTATCTCACTATTGACAGTCGACTTTAGCCTTCACAGTCACCCACTGCTCCATTTCATGCAGGTATAGTGAATCACTGAAGTTTCTGTACAGCAACTCTGTATTCCTTCGGTGCCCCCTAACTACACTCTCTCAGCTTTGTCTCGCTCTGTCTCTCTGAGCAGCTAGCTACAGCCACGCATGCATAGCGAAGGGGATTAAAGCACGAGACGAGACACTTAAGGGCATTTGAACAACTGGATGAGGATTAAGGAGAGGAACAAATGACATAATGAAAGAGAGAAAACAACAAAAAAGACCTGGAATAGCTACATATCCCTGTCGCAGAGGTTCAATGTACTGTGGAGGGGGCTGCATCCGAAATGGCACCCTATTCCCTATATAATGCACTACTTTATCCAGGGCCTACGTCCGAAATGGCATCCTATTCCCTATATAGTTCACTACTTTTGATCAGAGCCCACGTTTTTTGAAATTTTACATGTTAGAATCACCTTTGGCAGTGATTACAGATGTGAGTATTTCTGGGTAAGTCTTGCACACCTGGATTGTACAATATTTTCCCATTGCTCTTTAAAATTCTTCAAGCTGTCACGTTGATTGTTGACCATCGCTAGACAGCCATATATTTTCAAGCCGATTTAGGTCACTCAGGAACATTCAATGTCATCTTGGTAAGCAACTCCAGTTTATATTTGGCCTCGTTTAGGTAATTGTCCTGCTGAAAGGTGAATTTGTCTCCAGGTGTCTGTTGGAAAGCAGACTGAACCAGGTTTTCCTCTAGGATGCTTAGCACCATTCAATTTATTTTCATCCTAAAAAATTCCATAGTCCTTGCTGATGACAAGCATACCCATAACATGATGCAGCCACCACCATGCTTGAAAATATGAAGAGTGGTAGTCAGTAATGTGTTGTGTTGGATTTTCCCCAAACATAATGCTTTGTATTCAGGACGTAAAGTTAATTTCTTTGCCACATTTTTTACAGTTTTACTTTCGTGCCTTATGGCAAACAGGATGCATGTTTTGGAAAATGTGGTATTCTGTACAGGCTTCCTTCTTTTCACGCTGTCATTTAGGTTAGTATTGTGGAGTAACTACAATGTTGTTGATCCATCCCCAGTTTTCTCCTATCACAGCCATTAAACTCTAACTGTTTTAAAGTCACCATTGGCCTCATGGTGAAATCCCTGAGCGGTTTCCTTCCTCTCCGGCAACTGAGTTAGGAAGGACGCCTGTATCTTTGTAGTGACTGGGTGTATTGATACACCATCTGAAGTGTAATTAATAACTTCACCATGCTCAAAGGGACATTCAACGTCTGTTTTTTACCAATAAGTACCCTTCTTTGCGATGCATTGGAAAACCTCCCTGGTCTTTGTGATTGAATCTGTGTTTGAAATTCACTGCTCAACTGAGGGACCTTACAGATAATTGTATGTGTGTGGTACAGAAATTAGGTAGTCTTTCAAAAATGATGTTAAACACTATTATTGCATACAAAGGCAGTCCATGCAACTTATTGTGAGATTTGTTAAGCAAATCTTTACTCCTGAACTTATTTTGGCTTTCCATAACAAAGGGGTTGAATACTTATTCACTCAAGACATTTCAGTTTTTAATTGTTAATTAATTTGTAAAATTTTCAAAAAACATAATTCCACTTTGACATTATGGGGCCAGTGTGTAGCGTGTAGTGTGTGGGCCAGTGACACAAAATGTAGAATAAGTCAAGGGGTGAATACTTTCTGAAGGCACTGTATATAGTGCACTACTTTTGACCAGGGCCCATAAAAAGGAATAGCGCACAATTTTGGACACATACATTTACATTTACATTTTAGTCATTTAGCAGACGCTCTTATCCAGAGCGACTTACAGTTAGTGAATACATATTTTTTTTTTTTATACTGGCCCCCCGTGGGAATCGAACCCACAACCCTGGCGTTACAAACGCCATGCTCTATCAACTGAGCTACATCCCTGCCGGCCATTCCCTCCCCTACCCTGGACGACGCTGGGCCAATTGTGCGCCGCCCATGAGTCTCCCGGTCGCGGCCGGCTGCGACAGAGCCTGGATTCGAACCAGGATCTCTAGTGGCACAGTTAGCACTGCGATGCAGTGCCTTAGACCACTGCGCCACTCAGGAGAAGGACACAACCAGGGCCTTTCTTCCAGATGTACTGTTTGGATGGTGTCTGTTGTGAACAGTTGTAGTCAGCCAACCAGACCTTGTCAGTTTAATGAATGTCTCTGATTATCTCGGTGCAATAATGTAGAGGCACACACTGCTAACAATAGCTATTTTCTCAACATCTGTCCTGTGTGTATAAAGGCTATGCAGACAGACCAGGCCAGACAGAGCGATAGATCCCTCTTTTTAGCGCCACTCCTCAGATTCTCTCTCCAATCCTGTTATAACTCCGGGGGGGGGGGGGGGGTCGACGAGACAACATGCCACTGTGGAGAAGCAAACATTAGCCTATCATCTTCCCTCTATTCGAGGGTGCGTGTAGGCGTCGGCGAGTGAACTATCTGTCACATTACAGTTGGGCGGCGGTCACATGTCTGACACCAGTAGTTTGGCTGACTCAGGTCCTCTGACTCAGCTTGATATGGGCATAGGATCCCCCTCTAATCTCTCTCTCTCTGTCTCTCTCTCTGTCTCTCTTTAACCCCCTCTCTTTTTCTGACACTCTCTCTCAATTCAATTTCAATTTCAATTCAATTTAAGGAGCTTTATTGGCATGGGAAACATATGTTTACATTGCCAAAGCAAGTGAAATAGATAATAAACAAAAGTGAAATAAACAATAAAAAATGTAACATTACCTCCCTCTCTCTCTCTGGTAAACTGCAGTAGGCCTACTTGACTCTATGTGAGTCTCATGATGCAATGCCATAAAATGTTACAATCTGTTGAAGAGTTGTTGAGGGATGCAGGTGGTAAAGGAATATGGGGCTTGTCTGGCTCAACTGGCTACATGTACAGTGGGGTCTGAAATTATTGACACTCTTGATAAAGATGATCAAAAATAACTGTATAAAATAAATAATTCAAATACTGAGCTGTATTGTGTGCTAATTTTTATTTTATATTTTATATAATACAATTGCTCAGAGAAAGATATTTTGTATAACAAGTAATTAAAAAAAGTATCAAAAAAGGTAAGGGTCAAAATTATTGACAAAAAGATTCTTATAAATAAGTTTAGTATTTGGTCACATTCCTAGCACGCAATGACTACATTAAGCTTGTGACTCTACAAACTTGTTGGATGCATTTGCAGTTATTTTTAGTTGTATTTCTGATTATTTTGTGCCCAATTGAAATTAATGGTAAATAATGTATTGTGTCATTTTCACTGGCTTAGCACCCCCCACACCCCCCGCAAGCTTTGGGGGGCGGTGGTCGCCCCAGTGATCAGACCCCCCAAATAGCACGTCATAAGTCATTTTCTCTTTTTTTTATGACAGGAAATTATAACATTTTCTCTCAGCCTCATGGGAAAATGTGTAGACTTTTTTTTTTGCATCCAACAAGTTTGTAGAGTCACAAGCTTGATGTAATCATTGCGTGCTAGGGATATGGGACCAAATACTAAACTTTTGACTACTTTATTCATAAGAATCTTTAGGAGTGTCAATAATTTTGACCGCTAGCATTTTGAGAAAAAAAAGTAATTGTATTAGTATAAAAATATATAATTTCCCTTTTGTTTTGAGCATACAATATAGCTTAGTATTTGAATTATTTATTTTACACAGTCATTATTGCTAATCTTTATTACATTTTAGTCATTTAGCAGACGCTCTTATCCAGAGCGACTTACAGGAGCAATTAGGGTTAAGTGCCTCACTCAAGGGCACATCGACAGATTTTCACCTAGTCGGCTCGGGGATTAGAACCAGTGACCTTTCGGTTACTGGCACAACGCTCTTAACCACTAAGCTACCTGCCACCCCGACGGGTGTCAATAATTTCGGACCCTTCAAGCGAGAAGGTTTTTCCCACATCAGCAAAACCAGAAGCCATGACACTGCACAATTGGGAGCAGTGACTAGTATGTAAAGTACCTTCAGAAAGTATTCTTACCCTTTGTCTTATTCTACATTTTCTTGTGTTACAGCTTGAATTTAAAATGGATTAAAAAATAAATACAATCTCACCCATCTACACACAATACCCCATAATGACAAAGTGAAAACACGTTTTAAAGACATTTTTGTAAATGTATTGAAAAAGAAATACAGAAATATCTGATTTACTTATAGTAAATATTCAACCCCCTGAGACATTACATGTTAGAATCACCTTTGGCAACGATTAGAGCTCTGAGTCTTTCTGGATAAGTATCGAAGAGCTTTCCACACCTGGATTGTGCAACATTTGCCCATTATTCTTGAAAAAATTATTCAAGCTCTGTCAAATTGGTTGTTGATCATAGGTGCATTTTGACAATCATTTCATTAATTTCAACCTTACAACCAGCCTGCTGGAGTGACAGTACTTGTGACCTCGCGCAGCCTTAGGGGCCTGTATCAACAGTAACACTTGTCTAAAAGGATGAGGGTGGACGGTGTGAACACAACAAACAAGACTCGAGTCACGGAGAGTGTCGTTGGTGCCGGCTGACATTACTCCGCGCCTATAGCATTAAGCAGGTAAACTAGGAAGTTCATGAGTTTGTTATGGCTGTCAGAAAGGTTCACTACTGCATATTCCGTGTCATGACTTGCCCTCATGGGTTGAGGATCAAAGATGCCGGCTAGGCAAAGGTTTGAACACCCCTTTCCTGGGGGCCAGTTTTATGACCAGTCATAAATTCCTTACAGAAACGTTATTTTCCGTGCCATGCAGTATTGGGAGAGGGAATTTCCCTGTGGAACAAAGGAAGTCTTCCCGCCAAGACTCCAACATCCAAAAGTGGATAATGAAACAATATTCCTACTTCAAAGAATGTGGGAAATGGTCGGTGGGGACTTCGTTACTATGTTGTGATGTCATTAAAGACAGTGCAACAACATAACTGTATCTCTGGGGGTGTACACTTCCCAGTTATGAGGTTTACGTCTAATTGTTTTGTCAAATGAATGATTAAGTATAATAATACTTTTGTGAAGATAACAATGTGATTTTAGCATTCTAGATGAGATGATTGTTTTCCATATTGATTTGTTCTCAGTCAGTGGCCATGCCCAGATGAGCACAAACATGATGAAACGCCCCCTTTTCTACTCAAGTATAAAACCCCTCGTGACGAAATTCACCTCAGACCAAGTATACTACGGTATAAGCCGGATGTTGCAAATGGTTGAATTTCTACAAGACCAGCAGACGTGCAGCGTGAGCTAAACGTTACAAAATGGTTAAACTCTACAGACCAGCCGACATGCGGCGCGAGCTGAATATGGCAAAATGGTGAAACTCTGAAACTCTCAACCTCTACATGAAGAAGACGACAACGCACTAGACCTTAACATTACAAGTCTGCAGCTGGCATGTATAGTCATCTAGAAAACGTTCACTAAAGACACGAGTTGGGAAGGACAATCCCTCTCAGACAACCCTTGGTACATCTGAAGTATCTATCTAACAGATAAACTCTACAAACTACTGGGTACGCTGAAGTATCCATTCTAACCACCACTACGACCAGAAACTCTACCAAGGACACTGGGATCTCTGGTGGGCAAAACAGAGTCCTACATCATCAACTCAACTATCGAGGACAGCTATACGTAAATACATGTTATGTTGCATACATAACATACATACATACATACATGTTGCATAGCGGCACAGGTCCTAATCCAGGCACTTGTCATCTCCCGTCTGGATTACTGCAACTCGCTGTTGGCTGGGCTCCCTGCCTGTGCCATTAAACCCCTACAACTCATCCAGAACGCTGCAGCCTGTCTGGTGTTCAACCTTCCAAAGTCCTCTCACGTCACCCCGCTCCTCCGCACACTCCACTGGCTTCCAGTTGAAGCTTGCATCTGCTACAAGACCATGGTGCTTGCCTACGGAGCTGTGAGGGGAACAGCACCTCCTTACCTTCAGGCTCTGATCAGTCCCTACACCCAAACGAGGGCAATGCGTTCTTCCACCTCTGGGCTGCTGGACCCCCTACCTCTGCGGAAGCACAGTTCCCGCTCAGCCCAGTCAAAACTGTTCGCTGCTCTGGCACCCCAATGGTGGAACAAGCTCCCTCACAACGCCAGGACAGCGGAGTCACTGACCACCTTCCGGAGATACTTGAAACCCTACCTCTTTAAGGAATACCTGGGATAGTATAAAAGTAATCCTTCTACCCCCCCAACCCCCTACCCCACCCCCACAAAATAAAAATAAAATACATGTTTAATTAAATAAATAAACAAAAAATATAAATATATATATATATATATAAAACAAATGAAAATTAAAAATACTCAAAAAATATACAAATTAGAAAAAAATTAATAAAAAATAATTGTAAAGTGGTTGTCCCACTGGCTATCATAAGGTGAATGCACCAATTTGTCTGGATAAGAGCGTCTGCTAAATGACGTAAATGTAAATGTAAATTTCTAATCCGAATGAGCGGGTGCTAAACATTTGTATTTCCGTGAACGTAGTTTCCAAAGTATCAACAATAGTTTGAATCTCTGTCTCTCCCTTACAAGCATTCATGCTATTGTTAATCTAGTCCAATAGGGACCTGTTTTCATTGTATTATGTAGTAATCAATAACCTATGTGTGCATGTGTGTGTGTGTGTGTTTGTATTGTGTTATTATTTAGTTAGTAAATAAATAATTAAGCCAATTTGTGTATTGCTGATTCATCAATAAGGTTAGGGTTCTTGCAGGTTCAAGGATTATGCGACGTTCAGAATGAGACTGATAAGAGGTAATTATTTAATAAGTGACTGTTATCAATATTGAACATTATTTATATATGGCTAAGAGTTTAATTCGGGAGATGGTAACTCGTTAAACAACTTCTTCCGTGGTGTCACAAATTCCTAATGAGTTAATTGTTACATGATTAATTTAATCGAGTGACAATTAAGCATAGTTAGTTGATACGATAAATAACAGTCATACATTAAAGTAAGTCACGGCACGACATCTGCATATGGTGTCCTGTATGCACAAGGACACGGCTAACATAGGAGCTACATATGGGGCGTCGGGAAAACAGTCGGTTTTTTACCTGCTACATTGGATGCGTAACTTTTTGCCGGCTTGAGCAGAGTCACCCTATTGCTGTCCAGCGGGGGCTGTGCGGCAAAATCTTGAAAATAGTGGAGCCGGCATGCTTCCACCCCGATTTCATTTAAATGAATAAGAGCATCTCAGTCTGCAAAAGTGATTCGTCTAGCATAGCAGGCCAGTAAGAAGGTGTCTGTATGCAGAGGGTGACCCGGTGATGAGACAGCAGAGGAGCTGGGTGATGTGAATTGTCTTTGTCGATCATTATTGAGGTCATTTCTGATCATTCTTCGGCAATGTCAGAAAGAATAGAATGCCTGAGTCATTCGATAGTACGAGTAACGCTATCATTATTAGGGATTCAATTATATTGTCTTACTGAATTTAAGTGGGCTTATGAGTGGGCCTGCTGGATTCTGTCTCGACTACATTTGTTTTCTGAATGTTGATTATCTTTTAATCTTTGCTGTGGCGAAGGGAATTTTCCATAATCATCCTCTTGCGTGACCGTCTGATTACATTAGCCACAGTTAGCTAGCCGCGCTAGTCAATAAAAAAAGGTTTAAAACTCAGAGGATCACACACACACACACACACACACACACACACACACTTCCTCTGGGCTAACAGACATGCTCCTCCGAGACACAGACAGACTAGTGTTGCATCGCCCCATTTTCAACAGCCCAGTGAGGAAGATGTGCAAGGAGAGAGAGAAAGAGGGAGAGAGGAGACAAACATGGAGAGAAAGAGGAAGAGAGAGCGTTGGTGTGGTAGAGAAAAAACGGAGATAAGCCAGACCAGTAAAAAAGTACAGCACCTGCACAAGTGTATGGCAGTGGGAAGAATCCAGCCATGTTGGAAGAGTTGTTTTACCCAGGCCATGTAGGTCTAAAGGTGTTCATATGCTCTACTAGAGGTGGTGGCAGTTGTTCCAGTGGCTCGAAGACATATACAGGGGCTAGACTCACTTCCAGACATTGTTCCTGATCCCACAAGAAGGAAGATGATAAACTCTACAAAAAACCCTCCCTCCCTCAAGTCACCTTCAAAGAGTGCACTCAAAGATGTTGGGGCTTTCCACATGTGGGTCAGTTACAAAAACAGTATAATTTAAGAAATTAGAGTGGCCTTTTTGAATAGCCAATAAAAACTCAAAACTAATAATAGGCAACTAGCTAGTATCTCACAATAAAATGATATCTGTTCTTAAAGTAGACGGACTACACAGCATGCTACAGAATACAAATTTCAACGAGTGCCCAGCCCATATACTATACAGCCCATACTTGTAAGCTCAAGTGTTTCCGGGAACTGTCCCCATTTGAACCTCTTCATGGGAGACATCAGAGAGTATTATTTAAAGTACGGATATTATATGCCATGTAGAGATAGAGAATAGAAGTAGTGTATCCAATAGCCCCAAAGCCACTCAGACACATTTAGCCCTCCATGTTATAGCGTGACAAAGTATGTTCTTAATTTAACGGTTGTTTAATTAATTTAAACTTCACTATCTGTGTGGAAGATACAGAAGTAGAGAGGTTAGCAGTAAACTTTGAAAAGAAAAGCCACATTTATCTTGTCTGACCGGTTGTCTTTCAGGGCTGTGGCGATTTCAGCATGCCCTAAGGGGACAGTGAGTGGGATATCCTGAACTGCAGTCAACACACTGCTATGAGCCAATGAGTCAGCAGCTCTAAGATGCTGTTGCTAAGACGACACCATGGCAACGTAATTCCATCCATCTGTCCCAACATCCCCATATGGACCCACTGAAAAAAAGTACTATACAAATTAAATACGATTGATTGATTGTATGTTAATCATAGAATCATAGCCTGGTCCCAGAACTGTTTGTGCCAACTCCTTTTGACTCATTGTCACACCAAACATGTTTGGCATGACAATTCCATAAGGAGTTGGCAAGAGAGCAGAAACAGACAGGCACCCATTCTAATAGAATCAGCAACTTTAGCAACCCAAAACAATTTTTTTATGCTGTGACTTTGGCTTCACTGGCAGATGACGTATTACAAATCAAATCACATTTTATTTGTCACATGCGCCGAATACCGTGAAATGCATACTTACAAGCCCTTAACCAACAATGCAGTTCAAGAAATTGAGTTAAGAAAATATTTAATAAAGTAAAAAACAATATATATATATATATATATATATATATATATATTTAAAAGTTACAACGGAAAATGAAAACAATAATTTCCTTTTGGAAAAGTTCAGGTAGCCCCCTCCCTGTTTCAATCCATTTTCTTCCGTTTGGTGCCTAATGTTGAATGTGAACTACCATGACACCTCCGCACACTCATCATCAAAATGTCATCCTCCATCTCCACTTCCTTTGATGAAGGGAATCTAAGGGCTCCTGGTCTGCAGGCTCGAAGGCACGTTTTTGATTTAAAACATTTTCGATAACAAATGTTCTATTCCCCCCTTACCACACCCTCTCTCGTGCTCTTTCCATCCATTTTATCTCTCGTCATTATACTCTCTTTCCATCCATTCTTTCTCTCTTTCTCCCTCTCCCCCCCCCTCTATCGTCCTCGCTTTCCCTCTGTCTCTCCAATTCCGCAACAACATGTGACACCAGTTCCCAATTATCTGGGTGCCTTTGTCTTGCCTTACAGGGATGCTGCTGCGGCATCTTATGTAATAATGACTGCCCTGGATTAAACTAGCCCTGCTACTAGAGCCATCAATGACACTCTGCCTAACGAGTGTAGAGGTGTGTGCTATCCTCATCACCACTGTAACTGTTTCACAACCTTACCACTTAGCCTCCATCCATCAGGCCAGGCCAGACAGCTAAAGCCCACTTACTGTACTTACCAGACCCTCTTCTTTCTCTTCTTTTTCTTAAAAAAAAATGAGTGGGGCAGTCTCATTCCTTATGTATTTTTTGTTTATTGGATAGAATATTGACAGAGAAGAAAGGTAGAGGAGAGAGTGTGCTGAAATAGCAATGGATCTCGTGGTTCGAACCCATGCTGCAGCGTTATTTTTTTCATTGGCAGCGACTTAGACCACCCCAGGCTACAGACCGTCTTCTATATATAGAAAGAACACATGAACATGTAGTGTGCATACAGTGCCTTGCAAAAGTATTCATCCCCCTTGGCGTTTTTCCTATTTTGTTGCATTACAACCTGTAATTTAAATGGATTTTTATTTGTATTTCATGTAATGAACATACACAAATGGTCCAAATTGGTGAAGTGAAATGAAAAAAATAACGTCTTTCAAAAAATTCTAAGAAATTAATAACGGAAAAGTGGTGCATGCATATGTATTCACCCCCTTTGCTATGAAGCCCCTAAATAAGATCTGGTGCAACCAATTACCTTCAGAAGTCACATAATTAGTTAAATAAAGTCCACCTGTGTGCAATCTAAGTGTCACATGATCTGTCACATGATCTCAGTATATATACACCTGTTCTGAAAGGCCCCAGAGTCTGCAACACCACTAAGCAAGGGGCACCACCAAGCAAGCGGCACCATGAAGACCAAGGAGCTCTCCAAACAGGTCAGGGACAAAGTTGTGGAGAAGTACAGATCAGGGTTGGGTTATAAAAAAATATCAGAAACTTTGAACATCCCACGGAGCACCATTACATCCATTATTAAGAAATGGAAAGAATATGGCACCACAACAAACCTGCCAAGAGAGGGCCGCCCACCAAAACTCACGGACCAGGCAAGGAGGGAATTAATCAGAGAGGCAACAAAGAGACCAAAGATAACCCTGAAGGAGCTGCAAGTGTCTGTCCATAGGACCACTTTAACCCGTACACTCCACAGAGCTGGGCTTTACGGAAGAGTGGCCAGAAAAAAGCCATTGCTTAAAGAAAAAAATAAGCAAACACGTTTGGTGTTCGCCAAAAGACATGTGGGAGACTCCCCAAACAAATGGAAGAAGGTACTCTGGTCAGATGAGACTAAAATTGAGCTTTTTGGGCATCAAGGTAAATGCTATGTCTGGCGCAAATCCCAACACCTCTCATCACCCAGAGAACACCATCCCCACAGTGAAGCATGGTGGTGGCAGCATAATGCTGTGGGGATGTTTTTCCATCGGCAGGGACTGGGAAACTGGTCAGAATTGAAGGAATGATGGATGGCGCTAAATACAGGGAAATTCTTGTGGGAAACCTGTTTCAGTCTTCCAGAGATTTGAGACTGGGACGGAGGTTCACCTTCCAGCAGGACAATGACCCTAAGCATTACTGCTAAAGCAACACTTGAGTGGTTTAAAGGGAAACATTTAAATGTCTTGGAATGGCCTAGTCAAAGCCCAGACCTCAATCCAATTGAGAATCTGTGGTATGACTTAAAGATTGCTGTACACAACTTGAAGGAGCTGGAGCAGTTTTGCCTTGAAGAATGGGCATAAATCCCAGTGGCTAGATGTGCCAAGCTTATAGAGACATACCCCAAGAGACTTGCAGCTGTAATTGCTGCAAAAGGTGGCTCTACAAAGTATTGACTTTGGGGGGGGGGGGGTGAATAGTTATGCACGCTCGAGTTTTCAGTTTATTTGTCTTATTTCTTGTTTGTTTCACAATAAAAAAATATTTTGCATCTTCAAAGTGGTAGGCATGTTGTCTAAATCAAATGATACCAACCCCCCAAAAAATCTATTTTAATTCCAGGTTGTAAGGCAACAAAATAGGAAAAATGCCAAGGGGAGTGAATACTTTCGCAAGCCACTGTACATATAGTAATCAGTGTTGGGGAAGCTACTCCGAAAATATAGTTTACCAAGCTACCAATTACTTCACACTGGAAGAAAAACTACACTAAAGCTACCCAAGGAAAAATATAGTTTACTTTGAAAAATTATCATATGTAAATCTGAAATGTCCTAGACTACAAATTGCAATAGGAGATCTCTTTGGGGTCATATGTTAACAGAACGTGTAATTTAACCTATTAAACACAAAAACAATCTTTCAAGTGAGAATTAGGCAGGTCTGATGCCGAAAAGAAAGAAAATGATTGCCTACTTCACCCATATTTTATTTTAGCTAAACAAGTAGTGTGTAGTTACAGTAGTAAGCTACACAGCTACATGGCAAAAAAGTAATCAACTACTGAAAACACTACCTAGATTAGAATTTAGTTCTAGTTGAACTACATGTTTAGTTCACTACTCCTCAACACTGATAGTAATAGTGAAGTCAGTAATAGACTTGGAAAGATGTGTGTTCTAACATGAACTGATACACTATAGCTGCATGTTTTCCTGCCCTAGGAATAAGCTCTCACTAGGATAAGGATAAAGATAGACCATCTACAGGCGGTGGCTTCAAAAGTAACTCACCCAACATACACTAGCTACATGTACCTCTATAAAAAAAGAACACATACAGTGGGGGAAAAAAAAGTATTTAGTCAGCCACCAATTGTGCAAGTTCTCCCACTTAAAAAGATGAGAGAGGCCTGTCATTTTCATCATAGGTACACGTCAACTATGACAGACAAAACGAGAAAAAAAATCCAGATAATCACATTGTAGGATTTTTAATGAATTTATTTGCAAATTATGGTGGAAAATAAGTATTTGGTCAATAACAAAAGTTTCTCAATACTTTGTTATATACCCTTTGTTGGCAATGACACAGGTCAAACGTTTTCTGTAAGTCTTCACAAGGTTTTCACACACTGTTGCTGGTATTTTGGCCCATTCCTCCATGCAGATCTCCTCTAGAGCAGTGATGTTTTGGGGCTGTCGCTGGGCAACACGGAATTTCAACTCCCTCCAAAGATTTTCTATGGGGTTGATATCTGGAGACTGGCTAGGCCACTCCAGGACCTTGAAATGCTTCTTACGAAGCCACTCCTTCGTTGCCCGGGCGGTGTGTTTGGGATCATTGTCATGCTAAAAGACCCAGCCACGTTTCATCTTCAATGCCCTTGCTGATGGAAGGAGATTTTCACTCAAAATCTCACGATACA